GCTAAAACAGTATTTATCCATATTTTGGTTGGACTGCTTTTATATACCGTATATACTTTAGACTGAACTTTTTGTATCATTTTCATAAAAAGTGCTGATAAGAGGAAAATCCACAATAAATTCAACCCACTTTCCCAAGTATATTAGTCTTTTTTTATTTCTCCCTGGAAGGAAACTGCTAATATGCATTGATATGTTCTCTAATTTTAACCATTTAATCTTTTATTTTAATACTGTTGTGTTTCTTATTGTATTAATTATTTATAGTCTGCACTTTGTTCAGCACCTGCTGTTTTTAAGATGGTCTGTAAAGAAGGTTTGTTTGACTGAATAAACATCTAGATTATTACGACATTCATGCAAAGAGAACTGAGACTAAAGTTTTGACCCAAACTGCAACTCTTATTCCACATTGTTTGCATTTTGAGTACCGGTAAATATAATGATTGCAAAGGCTTTTGCAAACTAATGACCAATTGTATACCTCCCTTTCTAGGGCTTTGATGCATTAGAGAAATAAGGAGAAGCAGGCTTGGCATTACATTGTACATATGATAAGAAATGATGGGACTCATTTGTAGAAAATAGACCACAGAATCATAGAACAATCGATTCCTTTAGACTTCTTTTATTTTCAGGCACCCATCCATCTGAGGTTCCCATTTCACAAATCATTTGTCACATACACATTTTGGTGAAATACAAATGATAAAGCTGTGATTTCTGGTAACAAAATGATCTGTTTTTTGAAAATACATAAAAGAAAGCAATAATGGTTTGCACGTTAACGCCTCTGGACTCTTTGTTTACCCACTGAAACTGTTCCTTGCGGCTGTGCACTGTTTAGTCACAGTTAAATGCTACTGTATAACACCTGCTCGGATTGTATGTTTTTTATTTTTTATTCCATAAAATAATCACTTCCTGTAAATGTTTGGTACATAATATTGGCACATCGGATATATTTTGTATGTAAAGGTTTTTTAATATGAATATGCCACTGTATGTTGTGCTGTCAATGGTACAATGGTGTACAAGTAATGATTATTAGACAGTAGACATTTAATGCTTATTTAATCGTCGTCTTTTCCACAACATTCCCACCGTAAAAATCAAAAATTGCCTAGAAAGTTTAAATTAGTCATACAGTTTTGGATAAAGATACAACAACAAAAACAAAGAAAAACACAATCATTTTGCCCTTCACTTATTACAAACTGAAAAGAAAACTGCAAAGTTAAATTTTCTCCGGTTTCCCAAAACATATCTGGGAGTAGATTTAACATCTAGCGCCTGCCAGGATCAGGGTGTTCTTTTCCATTTACATTTTGAAGAATGTGTGGTGGCCTTGAACACTGACGCTGGACTACTACTCCCTTACAGTACCAGAAATTACCGGGGCATGTCACGGAAATTATACTCATATCCTGAATATGTCAGACTTGACACTCTTTTCCGAACAGAAATCTTGCAAAAACTGAATTGGTCCGAAACAAATCAGCAAACAAAAAGAGTAAATGATTAAACATTCTGTCCAAATACATGTATTTACTGTTAATGATTGATAGATGAATAAGTAAAGTGCCACAATTAGTTCCTCAGAGATTTCTTCTGGTTTTGTCTTTTTCAAAGATAAATGCTTCATTTTACTGTAAACAGATTTTAATATGATAAAAAGATTTAAGTTACAAAGTCAGTATTTTTCACCAAAGAGCAGAATCCATAGTGTGATAGTTAGCCCCTGATCATCACTCACCCACATCTGTGTTTGACTAGGTTTAATTTTAAATGCTGTTATAAAAGATCTAAGGATCATTCAGTCTCCTTCATTACATCAGAGGGGTTCTATTTAAGTGACCTCTAGATCCCCAAGATATAAAGTAAGGTGTTGTTTAGTAGTATTAAAGCTGGAATGTGGCTTGTGAAATTTCACTTTTAAAAAATGCGTTTGGATCAAAATTGAACATTTTACACCTGTGGATGTAGTTTCCAAGAGAGTCTGGCTGAAGACCTGCACTCTCACGACCACACCTACAAAACAGGGTCTGTAGCATTGTCAGGACCATAAGTTTATTCTGGAAGTTGTATTCAAAGCCTTAGGGAATAGAGCGCAGCAGGTGTTTGCTGCCAAATTAGAGTTTATGACAGCGTTAAACTGAGTATAGTAGCAGTTTAAATTATACAGTAAGCAAAAATCCTCATAGGACAGCCAACCTCCACTCATTTAAAAAAATGTCTTAAAGACCAAATGCCCTTTCCCATCAAGCAATCCAAATGCAGACTTATTTCTAAATAGCACATATTATTTCAGATTTGAATTTGGGGGGGGGGGAATTGTGCATGTACATATGTTTCCAGCATAACAACACCTGTTTGTGAAAGGAAGCTAGCTTTTACTTTGAAAGTCTTCAAATAAACTTCCAGTTCTAACAGTGCAGGAGAGCTCACATTGCAGCTATTGGTCCTGGCAGTGCAGGTCTTCAGCCAAACCCCTCTCTTAGCTTTGTCATTGTTAAAGGAATAGTACACCCAAAACATGCTTAGCCTTCATTTTCTACTCACCCCCATGCTGAACAACACTCTGGAGTACTTTTTTGATATCTCAAATGCATCTGGAGATCTGGGAGGCTTCTTGCTGTCTGCTGACATTCAAATAATGGAGGTCTATGGCGCCCGAGACAGAAAGGTCCATAAAAGTCCACAAAAACGTGTCAATATTCCTCCATACTGCTCGTCCAATGTATTCCAAGTGTCCTGAGTGGGTAGCGTCCAGAATTTACTCGAAACAAAGTCATTTAGAATGTTTTTAGAGCATAAACAGTATTGTATAGGATTTCCTGAAAGCGCGCACATGCGCGATCACGACGCTACGGAAGCCGGCAGACCAAACCAAGCGCATTCAGCTCGGCAAAGAACTTATGCTCTTCCTCAACACTGAAGTCCTCAGACATTTTTCTTTCGTTGTTTCTTTCTTTGCACAGGTAAACAGCACATTTCTTCTTCTACGCTTGCATTATCGGCAGAGCAGACGCTGAATGCGCACTTTCATCTGGTTTGGTCTGCCGGCTTCCGTAGCGTCATGAACGCGCATGTGTGCGCTTTCAGGAAATCCTATACACTACTGTTTATGCTCTAAAAACATTCTAAATGACTTCGTTTCGAGTAAATTCTGGATGCTACCCACTCAGGACACTTGGAATACATTGGACTGCTAATCAGGTAGTACTTATCATGGCGACCACCTCTACTTTGACTTAAATGTCATTACCGATTTGCTTAATTGAGAAGGTGCCATGATATTCTGATGATCTGAAGCATTTATTGTGACAAAAAAAAGAATAAACAGAAGAAATCTATGAGGGGAAAACCTTTTCTTTTTTCTCCGCAGGCATCTTTTACTCATTAAATGTTGGTTAGATATTACATGTTTAGCTGTGTTAAACTAGGGTGATGTGCCTAAAGGGTTGACTGATTCGTTTCGTTTCCAATGTGAAAAGATTTATTAATACATTTTTGTCTTATAAACTTTACTGGCTTGGATAAAATATAAATATTTGTCGTCCTTTCAATGATTAATTCTGTTCACAAAATAAAAATAGGTCCTTCTTTGTGCATCTCTGAAAGTTGTTTCTTACAGTAGTTTTGTTTTTGTGTGTGTTTGCAAATACTTGACTAAATATATATATATAAATATATATATATATATATATATATCTTCAGATTTCTGTCCCTATTTATACTTGATTTTGATTATTTTGCACGTGCCAATAAAAAATATTCTGCACAAAGATGGCAAGATTCCTGTGTAGTTTTTTTTCGTATGTCTTCTATTTTTTTCAACCTCAGTACAAAAATATCAGTATCTCTGATGTTTCTTTTTTAATCTACTGTGTTCCTGAAAATAGATAAAACTGTACAGAAGCGGCAAGATGGTAAATATTGGATACACGAGATTTACGAGGGGGCACAATTACTGTCAACCCTGGTAGAGATGTGTAAAAAGCCTTAAAATGCACTTCTGTTTTATTGCAATTGTAAAATCTGACGTTGAAAGTTTATTTTTTTCTTTTTTTTTTATTGAAGGAAAGAAATTTCACATTTATACAGAATTTAATCATATAAAAGCTTTTTCATGAATCACCCACACATTTCAAATAAAACAAATGTACCAATTATGATTTAATGGAGATTTTCTTTTACAATGTTTTCTGTTGTCTGTAAAGCCTTTTGATTAGTAGCCGTATATTTAGAGCATCTAGATTTATGAAACAGCCCATTTCATACAGTTGCTCTCCAAAATGGGAAATACAACAGAGCAGTCAGTTTAATTAAGTGAGGCAGATGCCTGTTGATCTTACTGAGAAAATTACTCAAAAAAGATAGCTAAATGAATACATTTGCCATTAAATACACAGTTAAGGGAATGATAGAAATAAAAATAATGTTTTTTACACATCTGTACCAAGAAAAAAACAACAATATTTGTGGCACTATTCTTTTTTTATGATATGCCTTGTCAAAATATTTGTATCCATTGAATCTTTTCAGATTTTGAGACATTACAACCATAACAGTTCTACAGATATCTAGATATTATTGGGATCATATGCGATAGAATAATACTGTATCTACAAATAAAGTAGAAGAATTTTTTTTACCACTTTTCTTTATCCTTCACCTAAATAGTAAATAGTCCGCATGCTTATTTAGTCTCATTAATAATCCGCGTGTCCTGTGAAGGCCTTGGAGGTTTGTTAGGGCAGTATTTCCAAACCCTCACCTAAAAGCCAATTCTCCTGCAAGTTTTAGATGTTTTCCCCCTTTAACACATTTTCCTTCTATAACACCCCTGATTTAAAATGATAGCTGACTAAAGAGCTTTTGCTGAACTATTAATCATCCTAATCAGATGCGTTAAAGCAGGAAAACATCTGAAATATGTCAGGCAGTGTGCCTTGAGGACCATGATTGGAAAACACTGGACATTAAGAAACAATTATCACTATTTGAAGAACAGAGTAAACCACCTAGAGGTGAAACGTTGGTGACTTCAGACTAGGGCAGAGGTTTACCTTCCAGTAAGGCTGACTTTACACTGAAGGAGTCGTCCATGCGTCGCCTCTTATTTTGAAATGTTCCAGATCCACCTTTCTCTTTTCCTGTCTAGTTGCTGTCTGGTTTGTCTATTTTTTAAATACCTGATGCTTTTTGCTCCATCTGGGATGAAAATTAGACTTGATCCATATTTCTGTTTACAGCAGAGGGGACTATTCGTCATATCTTGAATTGGTGGGGACCAAAAAATTCACCAGTATGGTTTCTATTTGTGATGAAACACGCAGAAGTGAATAATCCAGGTCCAGAAAGTAAAAACCCTGCCTTGTTTTCCTTTATCCTCACTTAACGAGGTGTTTAGATCCTCAAGTGATTAGTCCGTATTGTGGAGCTGGAAATGTAAACGGTTGGAACCGATTTCTGTACAGGCTTTTTATTTTCTGGACTGGGATTATCCACCTCTTGAAAGCAGGGGATGCGTGAATAAAGGAATCTGTGTGAATGAAGGAGCTAGCTGCGATGGAATGGTTTCAGGTCACAGCAAATACTATCCAAGCTGACTGAGTTTGAGATATTATCAATTAAAATGGACAAAACAATTAGAACAGAAATGTTCTTTGCAGGCTGTGGTGGTAACGTGACCAAAAATTGAAAAGGAGATCAAGAATACAAATGCTTTAGTAGGCACTTTTTGTAAAAGTTGATGTTATTTTTTATCATTTTGCCATACTTTGAGGCATTTATCAAAGTTTAAATAATTGACTACAGTGCAAAGCAGGGTCTGAAGAATCCAGTATTCTGCAGCAATAATCCCGTCAAAGGCCGCCTCCACAGAGTCATGATGTTTTTCCTTACTGCTTTGTGTGGAACAGCAGTGGTTTCACCATGCCAGCCAACACCTTTGGTAGTTGAGAGGCGATGACCTCTGACATCATCTCTGGAAATTGCACTTTCATGGCGTCCGCCTGGATGAAGGTGCTCAGACAGAATAGGTTGACCTTCTTTACTATCTGTCAGAGAGAGGACATTTATGTTTGTCTTTGTGCTCAACAGATATATACACCTAACAATGGCTTCCTACTCTTTGATAGAGCCTTACATCATGCATAGCGTCCATCAGTTTGGTAAGGTGGTAGAATCGCTGCGAGCTGGCCACCACGCCCTTCTCCTTCATGTGGATGGCTCTGGAAAGCTCTCTTATGTAGTTTTGTCTCATTTCCTCAAATGCAGCCTGACTTTTCAGACCTTCAAGAGGAACTAAGAGAAAAACAACAGGCTAGAAGTGACACTTATCTGCAAATTCATTCACCTATTAAATTAATTAATTTGTTGACTTAAGAGCAGTTGCTACAGTATTTTATTCAAGGTCTAATCTTGTTTAATACTTCTGTTATTTTTCAGGTCTTCATTAGTTGGTCATCGAAGCTCCACATTCCTGGTTGCAACATTGTGTAATAATCGTGTAATTTACCTGTGTTCAGTAATATTATGGCTTTCATGCACAGGAACTCCTCTCGGGTCACTTGTAGGTTGGCAAACTCTTGAGGGATAAACTGGATCGCCAAGCACAGGTCATAAATGGGAGATCTCCTCATCTGCTCCCTAAAAAACAAACAAAAAAATGAAAATAAGGTAGAAGTAATAGTATCTGTTTTCAACATACAAGTGTCAGTAACCTCAAAAGTTCAGTCAGTTTAAGACTCATCCTATCTATAAGATCCTATCTTTGTGAAGCGGGATTTTCTGCGGTTACAGCGACCAAAACAAAGCTACGGAGCAGACTGGACATCAGGAGCGTCTGTCAATTTTGTCCGATTGCGCCTAGATGGGACCGGCTTGTTGTTTTATTTTTATGCTGTTTGTATTTGATTTTATGCCAGTTGTATCATTTTACCCTAACCCTAAAAAAAGAACATTCCCTCACTATGGTGATGCCACCACTGTGTTTCACTATTTACAATGAGGGCCACATTGTTGGATTGTTTGACTTATTGCACATGCATATTTGTCCAACAAACATGAAAAACTACTTCAAACATAAAGGCCTGCAAATAAAATAATTAGACTAATGCATTACATATATGCAAAGGAAAACAGGGCAAAGGAGAAATGCTGTAGTCAGAGCAGCAAAAAAACCCAAACAAAACTAGACACATACAAAAAATGCTGCAATTAGACTAAACTACATTTAGCCCCATTCATGTACACTGATGGTGACGAGCTACAATGTAGCCGCAACTACCTTGAGGCACACTGACAGAAATTAAGAAAAGCTGCAAACTGTCTCTGTGTAGCTCCAAACCATTAGGGGGGGGTGACAGTACAAACACCAACTCATAGGGGACAAGCATAATAGCGTTGGTAAGGCTGAAGGCTGCCTGGATTCAGCACAGTGGTCTGGATCTTCTCTCCTACTCTCAGCTACAGTATGATGTATTCAGAATCAACCTTTGGAAAAGACTTGAAGAAAAATATACTTTTTCATTCCTTACTCTAAATGTCCTAAGGGAAAGCATCCTATTTATTTTTCAGTTACACGTCGGGTCAGCTCACTTTGATTTGTAGTAATATCTATGTACTATATATGGGTTAACTATTGTCTCTCCCTAGTGGTTTGGAGCACGATTGTTATGTGGAGTTAGAATACAGCTTTTCGTAACTTGGAGTTGTATTTGCTGCTGTTTAGAAGCCTTATGCTGCGTTCACACCGGACACAGCAGGCACGACAGAAGCAGCGAGTTTACATGCAAAGTCAATGGTTGACGCGCGTCAAGACGCAGCAAAAGGTCCTGCAGCGCGTTTTGAGCAGCAGACGCAGCGCGTCGGGCGCGTTTAAGCATCTGATGCGCGTGGCGCGCCGCAAACACACTGCTGCTCGAGATGGAAAAATTTAATTTTTGTTGCTCTACGCGCCGTGTCAACCAATCAGAGAAGCTGATTTGGGAGCTGGCAGGGAGAGAGACACAGCGCCGATGATACAGAGTGCTATGATCACTCCTCTGAAACAGTTTATTGATGCATAAATTAACTTAAAATGCAGAAATTTGCCGGCAGAATATGTTCGCTTTTATTATTCTGGTGCCTCCAGATCGGATTATTTAGATGAAAAACACCTACCAGCTGCCGCGGTGAACCGCAAGGTGGTGACCCGGCCAGAGGCTGCTGTTGAAGGGATTCCTACTGTCAGCGCACCGCCGGTATGTGGGGGTCTGAGTGCCTCCGACAGAAATAATATTGGAAGGCAAGATTGTAATCTGAATGAACTGACTGCACTGATGAAGTTTTCAGGTCTATTTTCTCACTTAAAACCATATTAAAACTACTTTATTCCCACTGATCACAGCAAATATAGCTGCAAGGCAGAGAAAGGATAGTGAAGCTCCGCGTCAGACCCACTTTTGCAACGTGCAGCTCTGCCCGCGCGTCAGAGCTAACTAGTACAAGCAGTAAAAATGAATCAGCAGACGCGATTTTGCTGCTCTTGCTGCGTCCGGTGTGAACGTAGCATTATTTTGGTCGATGAACTACTTTAGGTATTTGCTGCGCATTAAGTATTTGGATCCCTCAGCCGCTGTACTTATTGCCTCTCACAGACCTCCTGCGACATTACGGAATGACCACATTTATTTATAAAAGAAATTACACACTCATGGATTTAATTATAAGGGAACTGTTAATAGGATTATCAAATTAAGAAGTTGGAGACGCTAAACTTTAGACTTTCATTACCTTTTTAGTATTTCATACACTAATATGTACATTTCTGTAGGTCTACCACATACAATCAAAATAAGCTACATTAACATTTCTTGTTCCAAGTATACATTAAATTAGAATGTTTAAGGACTATGAATAGTTTTGCAAGGCACTGCAATGTTAACTTACTGGCTAAGAACCAGATCAGGTGCAAAGTATAGATATTCGCTGGTGACATTCTGAAAAGAACGCCAACCGAGAGAGAACACCATCAGGTTCATCCATGAGTACTGGATTAGAGTCATCTGATCATTGATGTGCAGATTGCGAAAACCTTGGAATAAAAGAAGAACACAGAGTAAAAAAAAAAAAAAGAAAAACACCAAAACATCTGATCTCATCAGCTGTTCTACTACCTGTTACTTTGATGCATGATAACAGAACAGATCATTGTAGGACATTATCTTTCCTGATATACTACTCTCTCTCTCTCTCTCTCTCTCTCTCTCTCTCTCTCTCTCTCTCTCTCTCTCTCTGAGATTAGAGTTTAACACTTCCTATGACTAATGGGAATCACTTAAGGTTGAGACCTTTAGCAAGGCCTCCCAGTTTGATCCCCATGACAACAAATAAGGTAGCCCTGAATCGAGAGCTGTTACCTGGCAGGGACTTGGACCACTTGACGATCCACAGCAGCTGTTTCTCACACAGCCTGTTGAGACTGTTGAGCAGAAGATGGGGAACTTCGGGTTGTGAGTTGTCATAACCTGAGTACACAATCTCGGGTTCGATGTTTTCCAGAATGCTGATTATTTGTTGGGACATCTGAATCTCGTGGATACTTGGTACACAAGACATGGAGGTCAAGGCCTGGCTATCCCCAGACATGGACAAATGGGACTGGAACATCAGGGACGGGGCCAAGCCTAAGGCCTTCAAGGCTCCAAAGCGCTTCAGCTTCCTTCCTGTGACACAAATATAATGCTTTATCAAACCTAATAAACTTTTCCTTTTACACCAAATAAAAGTCAGACATTTAAGGGCAAAATACATGTGTATATAATTGCAATAAATCCACAATTATCTCATTTCTTAGTTTCTTGTTTCTCATTCCAGCTATCTATAATTTTTACATCTTGCACACTGCAATGCGCCCTTTGATGTAAGGGGACCTGCAGAAGAAAATGTCTCTCCAATGACTCTTCAACCACAACTTTAAATCAGCATGAAAATGTAATCTATTAGCCAAGATGTGCTATATTAACTATATGTTAATAGGAGTGGTGAGGTTAGGGTATAGAGCTTGGAATCCTGAGGTTCTGAGTTTGAGCCCCACTCCCACAGACTACCACTTTGGGTCCCTAAGCAAAGACCCTTAACTCCTCACTACTCCTCGGACGCCCTACAATGGCAGCCCACTGCTCCCCAAGGGCATGGGTTAAATGCAGAGGGATCATTTTGTTGCTTGTGACAGTGTAATGACAATAAAAGCTGAAAAAAAACATAAATATAAGGTTTACATTGTATATATTTACATTGAGAAGACTATACTTGTAATATTATATAACTTTGATCACCCTGCATACACTGAAGCATGGTAGGGACAGCGTTATGATCTGGGGTTAATTTTCAACAAATGGACATAAGATTCTACTTAGGCTAGTTTAAATTATAAACTACTCTCCAATCCAGCTCATTAGTGTCTGACGTTGAGTGCTGAAAATAAGTTTTAGCATGCATCCAAACCCTTAAAATAAGGGCTCTACCACAGAAATTGGAATTGTCCTAACATATACCTGGAATATGTTTGGTGTTTTCACCTGAAAAGATTTATGCAAAGTAAATCTTCCCACAGTCTGAGAACTTTTTCAAGGTAGAATAGACAAATATTACAAAGTCAATATGTGAGAGGCTGATAAAGTCCCAATAAAGACTGAAAGCTGGAAATGAACAAAAATATTGTTGAACAAAGTTTTAAAATAAATTAACATCAACTTAATTTTGAAGTCCAAAAAAATAGGTATAAATATAAACCTGTAGCTTTAAAAAAGAGTGATCCTGTTTTTATTTCATGAAGAGTCCGCATTGAAAACTAACATGAATATTGGCTATCAGTACAAAAAAAAAGACATCCTACCTCCAAGCATCATTCCTGCTTGATAACACTTTCTGAGGCGACATGCGGGGCAATTCTTCCTCCGAATTTTGTCCACAATGCAGTCATTTCGCCCGGCACAGAGATAGCTGTGATGGCCTGTTGATGACAATGAGCACAGGCAGACAATACATCCAATTTTAGCAGTGCTTGATTTCTAAATGTGTAGGCAACCAGTGAAGGTAAAAGATGGATGAGAAGGGGGTAAAAAAAAGGGTTGAGGGTCTCTTGACTAACCACTCTGAGCTAAGGTAGCGTTATAAAAGACTTAAAGAGGCAAATTAGATAGAGGCAAGGCTGTGAGGACAGAGTGACATGGCCATGGTGAGACATAGTGGCTCTCACTATATCTTGCCCTACAAGATAACAAAAATAAAAAAAAAAGAGTCCGAGATGAAGAACATGGTGTACACTGTTCAAAGTGATACTGTTTCTAATAACCTTTAACAACCATCATGGAAGGTCACACAGTGTTTGTGTGTGACTCTGGGTATTTTGTTTGTGCCAAAATTCTGCTATTAACTTAGATTAGATTACAAGATAAATACAGCAAATAAATATCTTTATTAAACTCCATGTAACCAATTGTAAATATACATTTATATCTACTGTACAGTGGCACCAAAGGACTTTGACTCAAAGGTTTAAAAAGATGTAAGAGGCTCAATATAACAGCATAAAAGAACATTGTAACATTAATTTTCTTTGAAAACCTTTTACCAGTGTAACATTTCACATTTAAAATCTTTTGAATGAGGAGCTTGTTGATAACTCACATTAGAGAACAAGTTATAAGAAGCTTATAAGAAGCTTATAAGCCTATAAGTGTTAGCAGAGGATCGTGCTAGCTGTAGTTAATAATCACTTTGATTAAATTATTTGCTTCAATAGACACTGTTTTAACCTTTGATGTATATGCATGATTATTTTTTAATCCAAATTAAAATATATGTCAATAAAAGACTTTGAAATATTATTGATGGAATGAATATCTGTAATCAGCTTTTTCACGTGTAGCCACCAAATCAACACAAATTGAAATGCCATAAATTCATTAAAATGTGAAAAAACAAACACAGAAGAAACTATTTATTAGATTTTTTTTTAAACATTGATCTGAAGAAATACGTTTACTTGTCTTTTTTTATGTTTCAGTGTGGAACAGCTTTAAACATTTAAGTTTGGAATTTACTTTTGTTAACAAAGATTGATTAGTGTCGTATTTATGTGGCCCCTAAAGAGATTCGCATGATTATACATGATGAACATAATAATAGTTCTAACAAGACAGATATAATTCTGAAACCCTTTTTTTGATAGTGTAATGTATTTGGTATTATTCAGATAAATATATAAAACAGTTTAGCTTGCTAGATATCTGGTTATGTAGCAGCCTTCAGAAGATAGCAGCATTGCCAAATTACATCACTATCACTTCATAGATATGGTTAAAAGTAGGCCAAGAAAACTAAGAAATAACTCCATCCACAACAATAAACTTAAGTTAATTCTAACCAGTAGGAGAAATTTGAATAAAACATGTCTTAAAATTAATGTTTTTCTAGAATTAGCTGTGCAAAGCAGGTTAATGTTTATTTGGTGGAGGTTAAATAAGTAAATAAAGTAAAAAAGTTACCATCATATTTTCCAAAAAACTAAAAGGTTGAATATATTTAAATTAAGCATCTTCAAGAAGTATCTCAATACTGAGTTATTCAGTAGAGTTGGACTAGAGTATCATAGCCCTCTTTTTGTAGCGGTCTCACTGGAATATACTTTAGCTACAGTAAAAGTAATCACATCATTATTAATATCACATATATAAGTGACTACAGAAATTCTTTTATCAGACATAAGACATTATCATGACTTCCTGCATAACCACTTAAACTCGGCACAACATTTTACAACCCTTGGTTTTTCCCTTTTAGAAAATTTTTATTACAATCACAGAGGGATAGTCAACATTTTAGGGATTGGAAAGCTAAACAAAAGTAAAGTAAAGCAAAGTTAAATTATGCACTTTAAACTTCTGGCAGTATGAAAGTTGGAAATGTAGCTCACCTTCCACTGCTCTTTTGAAAAAGACCTTACAGCTCCCACATGTTAAGACTCCATAATGGCAGCCAGATGCTTCATCGCCACAGATAACGCACATTCTCTGTGGTTGCATCCTGAAAAATAGACCAAACCATTATATGTGAAGGAAAACTTGGGAGCCAAAAACTGCAACAGATCAATGTCATTAATTAATTACAAAAATTAAAAAATATGTGAGATTTTTAAGAAATAACTGGATATAAACTATGAATTTATGTAATGTTTTAAGCTTTTTTATTAAGTCCTTTTATGGGTGGGACTATCAATGCTAAGTTGCTGCCCAGGTTAACCAATTAGATGTTAGGGTTACTTTGAATAGTGACAGATTTGGTTGTTGCATACAGGGCCTTAATTGTAATTCAATGATAAATTAAATCTTAAGATTTGGATACATAATACAATACATTATTTTACAATACATTTATAATTTTTAACATTTTAATCTTATCTATATACATATGACATGAATTTATATAATGTAGTAAATTAATGTTTTTAAATTTAAATCAACACAATTGATTACCTCATCAATAAATGGTTACTTTACTGAGTAAAGTACTAATTACAAAGAAATATGCAAAGAAATCAAGGTCAGGTTTCATTTTATGTTATAAGCACACATGGATCATTGGAAACCAATTTCTTATTATTGCATTAATAAATATATCTGATTAGAATACATTTAAATCTTAATAGGTTGAATTGAATATTTAAAAGCCAACCACAAGGTTTGCTATCAAACCATGCAATTGTGGAGGTTTATAACTCCAGTACCTCCTGAATTTAAGGCAGCTCTTTTGTTTTTCTGTTTTTCTACTGGATGAACTAATTAATCCAGCTGTGCCTGAGCTCAGTAACCATGGCCACATCTGGATTAATAAAGTAACCCAGTAATGGTAGACAAGAAACAAGTTCAGTAAGAAGTGGAATTGTGCATAAAGGCCATTGTTCTTATAGAAACAAATTAATTATGCAGTTTGTTCAATTAAGGTAAAGTTTCTTAAGTAAATTGCGCTTTTTTCCCCCTTTTGCAACACTTATTAGAGTTAAGTATTTATCATGAAAGCACAATTTAACGAAATAACTCAATAAGGAATTTTAATAAATAATTACCCAGGGAAAGTGGAGAAGGGTGAAGGGTTCCTCTGAGTCTGGGTGTGGTTCTGGATCCCATCGTAGTTGTTGGCTGTAAAGGCGTCTGTCTCAGTCATACCTGTCGAGTGCAGCCAGTACTGGGATTCAGATGTAGAGGTTTGGATCTCCCACCGTGAAGCTTCAGTCTTGTACATGGTGTTTGGTGATGAGTGGGCGGACAGAGCGCACCTGGACTCGGTCCTTCCGAGGTTCCCAAGCTGCTCTGGCTGCTTTAACTCCAACAGACAGTTTGGAGAGCCCTCCAGCCGTGGTCGAGGAACCACCTCCAGCCCCTGCTGGTGTTTGCTGTCGATTTCGCAGCAGGTGTCTAATGCAGGGATCTCTTGTGATGCGTCAAACCTCGGACAGGGGGTGTCCATTATCACAGAGGGCTCCTTTTCGTCTTTAATGAACTTACAAGCCCCAGAAGCTGAGGACAGGCTTAGATTTACTCCTGGCAAACTTTCCGATATAGATGAACCGGTGCTCTGAGTTTTAACAAAATCTTCCCAGGGAACACTATCAGACTTTAAATAGTCGCTGTCATAAAACTGCTTTCCAGAAGCTGAAGCATCAATAACATTACAGTCTTTATAAACTGCGCAGTCTCCACTTAAATTCAACCCGGGAACTAAAGCGCCTGGGGTTTCCAAATTACGCACAGGCAGTTTGGTGGACCTGCTAAAGCCAGGATCAATCAGTTCTCTTACTCTCGCTTCAGCTGAATCAGCAATCGAAGAGGCGCTCATCTTCCCGTTAAGTTTGTCTTCCATCAGTAGTTGGTTTCTTTCCTTCCTTCTGTGGCTCGAAGAAGCGTCCTGAGTGCGTCTGCAGACTGGATGTTACAGCGAGATAAGGAGAAGCTCACAGACCTTCCTATAATCCTCCTCCCTGCCTCTGACTTTGTCTTTCACATGAACCAAAGCCTTTATAATACCTCAGATTCTTTTTTTATAATATTTATTTGTGAGGCAAATAAACCTTTGTTATTTAACTTAGATTGCGTTTATATTCTCTTTACAAAAATAACAAAAGAATACTGATAAAAAGCAACACTTTCCTCTTTTTAACGTCGGGGACATTTCTAATTTACCTTACAGTCTTCCAGTCCTCCAGAGAATCAACTAAGCTTTTCTACTTCTAACCAAATGGCAGAGCTAGAAAGAAGTGGCATTCTTTTCAAGAGAATCTCAATGTCAAGGGCCGTTAGTCTCCGCCCTACAGATCATGAATAAGTGCAACAAACTGTAAATAGGTGTTACCATCATGGGAATTTAAAACTAACAGCCTGACTATCTGACAACTGAAAAGAATGTTTAAACAAATCATCCTAGGGGCCAAAGGCTGGTCCTAATGGGATGGGCCCCTATTTTGAATGTTGGTTAGTTTATATGTATGCCAGTTAGGGTTAGGGTTAGATATATACTGGTAATGATTGGGGTTTAAGGTGAACGATAGGCTTAGGTATAAATGCTGGACCTAAAAGGAAGAATTAAAAGAATCCAACCAGCAACCTCACTTCTGAATCCATACATTCGAAACTATAAAAGAAGTCAGTTTTTCTTACATTAAGTGCATTTGTTCTTGAATGTATGGGGTAAGTGTGACACTTTGCCAATGGATCAAGACAATTTACATTTAAAATAAGAAAAACCTATTGCATTGTCTTATTTCAAGTGCACATTGTCTGATTATCTTGTTTTAAGAGTAAAAATGCTCATTCCATTGGCAGATCATCTTTTTTAACTACTCAAATTAAGGGTAAATACATATAATTTAAGACACATTTACTTATTTCTAGACTGTTTTTGCAGTGAACAGTCTTAACAATGATTAAGGTCTACAAAGGTTTAAAGTAAGCCTGATTTTTTTTGCTACAAATTTAGTTTTCTGTTTAAATCCCCTTTTCCTGATCGAAGTTAAAAACACTCCAAACCTTAGAAATGTAACTTTTAATTTCAGATATGTTTGAAAATGTGCTATCCTTCCTGATACTTTATATTTAATGTCTGTAACACTGGCACCAAAACAGACCCTCAGCATAATTCTGCCACCGCAGATGACAGCCGGTACAGTGGTGAATGGCATACTCCTCTTTAAATCCACTCTCAAAAAGACATTTCTTATGTCCACATAGTAAGCCTCCGATATAGTTTGGTTTTAGTTTAGGGTTATTGTCTCACTGAAATATCAACATTTTCACAAGTTTCAGCTATTACACCTAAACTGTTACCTTGGATTAAAGGAAATTGGTTGGAATGTTCAGTAAAAAAAAAAATGAAAATGGAAGATGTGAGACCAGCAGTGGGACTATTCTCTTAGAGTATCTCCTCAACATTAATGGAAAGGGTGTTAACCGAGAAACAACCAAGCCTATCTAACATAGCTGACCATATGAACAGAACAGATGTCTTTTAAAGAAAAAAATTGCAATCTAATGAGGCAAAGACTGAACTTTTTGGACACAATGACAACAAAAACTTTAAAGAGTTACAGTGAAACCAAAATGAATCTATCAGCTGTTAAGCATGGTAATGGCAGCATGATGCTGCGGTTGTGTTTGTCTGCTGGTGGTTAAATTTGTATGACAATGAAGAAGAAGGACTACCTTCTAATTCATTTTAAATCAATTACCAGATGTTTGAAAAAGTGACCACAAAGTGACAATGATGAAAAACACATTAAAACCCGTTATAAAGAAAGAATCAGCTTTATTATAATTGATTATATTTGCCAGCAAGGAATTTGACTTTGATTACAGAACTACTTACACAGACTAACATTATTATGCTGAAGCAACTTTAACCCTTCGTTCTCCTTAAAACCATATGGTGTATATATATAAAAAAAAAGCTAATTTCAAAAAGCAATTGATTCCTGATTAGTCAGATATTCAGCCAAAGTTATGCCTGAGGCTTTAACAAATAAATGCAGTTTTATTTTTTTTATTTTTGTATTTTGTTCACAAAGTTCTTATTTTATGGTTTACTGAATTATCCATATAATCATGTATATATATATATATATAAAACAAAAACTGCATTATCAAAAGGCCCATCCACACAGATTACATCCACACATTATGTTTTGAACAAAATGTGTGGATGTAATCTTATTTTTACTAATAATAGTTTATATTTACATTTAGCTTTTTGTTTACTTTAAACCAAAAAACTCCCTGTTCAGTTAGAGTTAATGCTTTATCTTGCACTGCTTTATAGACACATTTTTTGCATATGCAGGGAACCTATGGGCATAGTAAAAAAGAAAAAAGTTTTGCTTGTATTTGTTACATATTGCAAAGGGAAACTGTATTCTGGGCTTTCTTGGATTCATTTGACTTATCTAATTTACTTTTCTGTTATCCTGGTTAGATGACAGAACAGGTTTTACTGTTCAAGTTAATCAGTCCAGGGTGGATGTTGCTAATGAATGTGCTCATGTTTCACACACAGTCCTTGGCACTATCGCCTGCGTCATGTTTTAGATGGCATCCAAGGGGATTCTCATGCAGTGGCCTACATATTGCTTGGATAACATTTGCACACTCATATCTGCACTATGAGATCTTCAGATGGTGTAATGGCCTAGTTTCTATAATCAAAGTTTCTTCCAAAAGGTGGCTAAAAAGTGGTGCCAGTTTGCCACCTTTATAAGTCACTTGTTTTATTTTTTCCTCCTAGCCCGCACCATTCCTTATAAAGTAATAATTTGCAAATTTTTTTGTATAAGAACAAACCATGGCTTTACATTTTTTCTTCTGTATTGCCTCATTATATAGCTTGACAGATAAAGTGCAGTTGTGGCATGTATTCCTTAAAAGATGCAAGCTGTTGAACACAGATGAGGTCAGACTGTTCCTCAACATTTAACTTACTTAACCGTAGAAAATTACACTGCAAAACAGCATCTGCTCCAAACGTTTTAAAAAACATAACCCATCTGTATTCCAAGAAACGAAGATAGCCAACATGGATGATTATTACATTCATTAAACAGCATGCTCAGGTAACCCTCACTTTAATGCAGTAACGTTTCAAAATGTAGTTTCTCCTCTGAACATTAAGCCAAAGTTCATTAACTTTACAATAATGGTTAACAGACAAAATAAAGAATAGTTATCACCAAAGAGCTTTATTCTTACTTCTTAGCTGTACAAATCAGAACCCAAACACAGACATAATCAAACCTATGTTCTTGTTTCACTTCAGTACCTCACTTTTGTACCAGACAATATCGAAAATGGAAAATAAAAATATGTGTGAAAAGCCATTATTTGCTAACAGTGATACACCCTGCAACAAGAAGGGGGAAGCCCATAACCTTACTGCCACCATGTGGTTAACTGAACAGATACAGCTGAGAGGATTAGGCCTACCAAAAAGTAAGCATTCATTCAATGGCTTCTTTGGAACACAAAACTGAAGACAATGTTTTCAAAAGCATTTTTTCCAGTTGTATGAGTAAAAAAGGATAAGGACCTTTTTTGATTTTTTTCTCAATTTCTCACTTTGCAGCGATTGTATTTTATAGACCAACACAAATAGTCTGTATTTGTAAGTGATGGAAAGTGATGCTTAATTAGGAAAAAATAAAATAAAATCAAAATACTGCATCATGTAGTAGCATAAATAATTTTGCAAAGCAGTAAAGGTCCCTTTACCTTGATTTAATGTCAGAAAAAAAGATCATATTATGCTAAATTTATACGACTATTTTGTTTGCTCATTTCTAAGAAATCATTTCCATTCTTTGCTCTTCTTTCTGCACAACATCTCCCAGTTGCCTGACAAGATCGGCCAGTGTGTTCAAATCACGGTTCCCTCTTTCCAGGAGCTCGTAACGAAGACTGGAGATGTCCTGTTTGATCTCTCTCAGTTCACCTTTGGGACAAGTAAGTTATTCATTTATTCATTTTTTGGCAATCTGATGACATAAAAAAAAAAAAACACTTTCTAAGAAACTTACCTTCATTAACTTCATCATTATCCTTATCTCTCTGTGCTTTAAATATGTATCTTTTGATTAAGCAGTTCATTATTTTCTGCAATAAAAGAATAATAGTATTAAAATAATACCTAATCAGTCATTACAAACAGGTTAGTTGGGCAAAATGTAAAAATCTAAACTGAGTTGATCACGATGATTAAATAAAGAAATAAATAAATATAATAGAAGAAGAAAAATTGTGTTATGTTAAAAAAGAAACTGGCTTCATATGTGCAGCCCTTTTTTTAGTTTATTTTTTTGCACCAAGAAAAAAAATGTGTAAGAAGGTAGTTTTTTTCTTTTTCTTTCAGTAACTAATATAGTTTTGATCCAATATTTGACCAATGTTCTTTTAGAGGGAAACGTCTTGTTCATAAATATACCAATCTAAGGTTCAATTGAGGGGGAAATGAGCCCATAGCATCATAGATACTGCACCATACTAAACAGAGCATAGGAAGCTCTGTGACCCATCATATTTGTTTCCTAGGTAGATCGTTGGCAACAGACTATTTAAAAGCTAATTGATGTCTGAAAACGTATTTTAAATTATTGAAATCTTTCAATGACAATTACTTCAAGAGTTATTCAGTAGTGGCACTTAGTGATTTCATTAACAACACTAATTTCCCTCAAAGGAACACATGGGCTCAAATTAGTAGAAGAATTACCTCAACATGCTGCAATGACAGATTTTATTCTATAGATTTTTTTTTACACATCTTTACTTTTAAAGAGGAAATGAAACGGTCAACCAAACTAACTTCATTCACGAGATTGTGCCTTACTATTTTCAATAATTATATCACAAATGTGAAAAATATAAATGTAAAACAAAAAACAAAGTGTTTTTTCATAATTTTTGGTAAGGGCGCTGCCATGTTGCAGTACCTCAAATGGTGACATCATGGGGTTGGTACGTGATTTAACTAGCAACTGTATACATTGGATATATATGTATTGGTGATACATCAAAAGTATAAAACACTTAAAACATTTGGTTTTATGGAAGACAAAGCTGAAAGGACAGCGAAGAGTCCTTTTCTTTATCTAAATCACACTTCTTATGCTTTTGACCTCATTCAGCTTGAGACTCGAGCATGGATGTAATTTTGGGAGGGGGGGGGACTCCTGCACTTTTTTAAACGTACGTTTTGGTCCCCTGCTCGTTTTACTGTCCAAAGTAAATGTTATGCCACAGTACACAGATATTTGTACAGCACTTGGACCATGTAGACAACTGCAGGTCAAACTGAAGCCCACTCCCCTGAGTTTAGACCACCCACAACCTCCTGATTGGACCTCATTCTTTTCCTGTGTGATTGGCTCTCACCGCTGTCACTTCTTAGATGCTCACTTTACAAACATCTGATGCATCACTGAATCGGGTCTGTGATTGGATGGTAAAACACGCTGAATTAAGTTATATTAAATAACACTCATGTCCTCCACTACTGAAATCAAATTTTGTCAATGGACTCCGTAGTAAGGAGAGAAGGGGCAGTTTTGGACCCAGGTTTCTGACTATCCCTGCTACCCCACAGAACACCTGCTGTGGAAAATATGAAAAACAAAAGACTTTTGAGTCTGGCATGCTAGCCGTCCATAGGACAGTTGGCTAAAAGCCTGAAGCTGCTCTGACTTTTTAAAATTTTACCACCTATAAGTTGGGTTCTACTGACCGGTCAAAACACCAGTCAGCCGTAACAATCACGCATCAACCCGGTGATGTCACCGTGTCAGGTACTGCAACAGGGCAGCACCCTTAGCTAAAAATTATAAAACAAAGCTTTGTTCTTTTACCTTTATATTTTTATTTGTGATATAATTATTGATCATAGTAAGAAACAATCTTGTGAATTAAGTTAGTTTGGTTGACCGTTTCATTTCCACTTTAAAGCCAACAAATGTGGATGTTGCTGTGACAGTAACAATCAAAATACTAGATGCCAAAGTAATTCCTTGTGTATGTGTGCAGAGCCATTGTTTATTTAACTAATGACCATTAGCAGTCATGGAGACTGCCATTAAGACTGAAATTACTGAGCACTAAATCCAAACAAAGAAACAAGAATTGCCTTACTTGATGACGAGTTGGATGAAGTGATGCGTCCTTTTTCAGTCCTCCATGTTCCCTAAACTATGGTATTAAATATCAGGAAAAAAGAAAATACATTTTTCAACATACTTTAAAACATCTATAAAACTGTATGACATTTGCAAGGCCAAAACAAGCCACTATGGCTCCTTTGGTAAAATTTGATTCGGGGGCCCACTTTAGCAGAAGCACATACTGAAGGCCCAGCTTCACCTGAGTTCTGAGGGCTTATGTTGCAGCTATGTTTTGAATGAAATGAGACAGGTCAGACACACACAACACAGATGGCAAAACATTAAGTCTGCAAATGTATACATCAAGCTTTTAAGAGTTTCTTCTACATTTGTCTCCTTATTTAATAGTGTAAATTATCAGATTAATGTAAGGGAATAATTGGTCCTGGGGCCCCTCATCAAACTAAGACTGGGTTGTTTTTGTAAATTGCGACTGTAGAAATTGATACAGTCACACTTCTGCAGGAGTTTTGCAGTGTGAAGAGTCAATGATCTTGGGGACACAGCTCACCACCAACAGCAGAATCCAGAAGGCACAGAAATGAACTTTAAAATAAGAACGATACAGCATTACTCTCAGGGTGTTTTATAGTTGTAACGGCTCAAAAACGAAACAAACTCACCCCAAATCACGTGAAAGACCTAATGATAAAAAGGTTTAAGGTTTGAATACAAGATGTTTTGGTTAAACTGCTTCCTAGGTTAAAGAAAGGGAAGGAGCTAAGCTCATCAAAATAAGAGCTTTGAGCTTCACTTATAAAGATGTTACTGATGGCTTTATCTTGTGTTCCAATTAATTCCTTATGACAAGTCAATTAATTTAATTTGGAGAGGTATTTCTGTAAAAACGTACAAGTACTGAGCAGAAAATTTAAGCTGTTGATCTTAAAATGGGTGATGGTTGAAAGAAAATTCTTGGAAAATCTAAAGAATAAGTATTTAGCAGCATCCCATTACAGTTTGTTTTACATCCACCCTTCCTCTGAGCTTTTATTTTTACATTGATTCTTCCTTTCACTCAGCAGGAGGCCAGTAACAAGAAGGCAGCAGGAGCACAAAGATGAAAAAGCTTTTTTCTTTTTCCTGTGACAGCTTCACTTTGAAATGAACTGCCAATGCAATTCAGACAGGCCTTTTGTTTATTTTAAAACTGCTCTGAACACAATAATCAATTTTTATTGGCTTTTGACCCAGTATGAGAGAGCTTTTATTTTGAAGAGTTGCTTTATATCATTTTTTGTGTATCACCGTACTATTTGGGTTTTGATACCTCTGATATTTTAAAGCACTTTGGTCAAGTGTGCTGAGTGTGCAAAAGGTTGTCTGGGGTTAGTTGCCAAAGAACTTCATCAATTGTTCAGGGTCCATTTAAAAAGTGCTGCCTCTCATCCAGAGCTGCCTCTCTATCAGATTAGATTTCCACCCTGTTTATCTAATTTAGTCCCTGTTTCCACAGCATGAATGACCCAAATAACTACGCTGTTTCCATTAAAAGGTTCCTGTTGTGCAAACAGATGCTTCAGGCTTTTTGATACAACAAAGCTATTAATGCTGCCCATCAACTTGTCCAATTTAAATAAACTATTCCAAAACATTAGTCTGTAAGGTTTTTTTTAGATTTTTTCTTACATTTCTTATGTCTTTGCCATTCTTTGACTCTTCTCTGTTTTCTTTTGGAGGTTTAAAAAATGTCTTTATCCCGAGTAGGAGGGACAGCACAGATTTGGGGCTGGGTACGAGGTTGAAGGGCACAGGCAGAGTGCTGCCGTGTTCAAAGTAGGAGAACCACAGCTTGGCTCGAGCGAATTTCCACTCAACATCAGCATCATCCTGCAGTATCAGATAAGAAAGGGCACTGATTACTCAGAACAGCGATGAATGTATTCCTAGAACACTCATGAAAAACAAAAGGAAGCAGAAATGAAAAACTGCTGTGTTTGATTCGTACCTCAATTTCCTGGAAGGAGCTGTTGAACATGGCTATGAGCATGTTCAGCAGAACAATCACCATGATGATGTTGTATACCCCATACAGAACATAGCCTATATTCTCTATGAATTTATGATTGATGGTTAAAACGACGGACTTTACTTCTGAAAGTCCAAAGATTGCCCAGAAAAGTGTTTTAAAACTTTCTTCAACCCTGGCGGAAGAACAAAATTATTAATAACATACAAATGATTGTTTCAGCCTTTATGCTTCTGGCACTTACGTTGTAAAGGCAACGTTGTATTTGGCTCCAAGGTAGTATGAATATAGATCAAACATTCCCACCATGAATGCCACGAAAACTGTTGTAAAAATAACCATGAACTGAAAAATGTCTTTCATCGTTCTTCCCAGAGAGATCTGCAAGGGCCCAAACCTCTCGTTGGCTGGCAGGATGTACGCGATGCGGGAAAAACTCAACACAATGGCAATTGCGTAGAGACCTTCAGAAATCAGCTGTGGGTCTGAGGGAATCCAGTGAATCCTTGCTGTAAATATGTAGAGATGATAAAACTTCAGCTTCGATCCACTAAAAGAACATTTATCATTAAAGGTATGAAACAGGATTTTTCTCTGAAATGAAGGGTCCAGATCATCAAAATGCCTTAATTGATGGATGGCATTCTTGCACTTATGGTTCCCCCCCAATAAAATTAAAATACTTAAACTCTGGCCGTGGTGGTGGCTACAAAACAGGAGCCAATCCACTTTGCCAACTGTCGAAAGGCTACTTGTTTGTCAATCAAACATTTTGCGTACGTGCCCCCAGTACTTTATTTACGTAGGCTTGGCTGTTTGGCTAGCGGTCCGCCATTACACAGAAGCACAAAGAAGTACTCCTACGCTTGTTTGCTGCTACTTCTGCTTTTTTTTTTTTATATTTGTTCACTCTTTTGTGTAAACTTGAGCATTAATGGCTAAAAAGAGAATCATAACAAACCTAACAGGACAAGAAAGCCTTTTTTCGTTGTAGTGAGAGAACGGAGCTGGCTAAATGTGTGTTTAAGAGATTCTTTTCAGAGATAGCATGGGTCAAAAGGAAAATTGATATTTCAGTAAATTAGGTTGAATTCGGCAATAAGTACTGTATTTTGTAATTATGAAACATGTGCAGTGATAACGCCGGAAGAGACCTCTTCTTCTTATAAAGATTTCCAGTGCAGCCTGGCAATTTGCTGCCTCTCTAGGTGAAATACAAAATTACCGGCGTAGGCGTTTCCAGTATACAGAACTTTTCCGAAGGAGAAGGGGCTCTGACACATGCGCACAATTGAAAAATACACAAACAACCGTTGGACGTATCTTTCTCCACAGAATCCTCTCTCATGCCTTTCAAGCTACAGTGTGTAATTTTCAGCGACATCTAACGTCCAGACTGCAGACCCCAGCAACATGAACATCTCCCCCCCACCGCTTCCCCCCCCCCCCCCCCCCCCCAACAGTACGGCGAGTGTTACGGGACAAAATGTCTTCCACGACGTCTGCATCACCTACCTTCTCAAGTGATGAGGTTTGTTTACATAGATAATTTTACAGATAGTATTTCATTAGTCTGTGTAGGGTATAGATTTCATGTAGACTTAAACAACTTGCCGTAGTTACTTTCGAGCGTAATGGGCGATCTCGCAATCGCTAGTTTGTTGGCTCTGCGCTGCCTTAGCGCAAGGATGTCTGCCTCCATGGCTGCGAGACCCGCTTCTATGTAATTATAAATAACGAATTCTAAGGCAACGCAAATATTAAGGTTAAGAGGCTGAGCTCGTAGATGATGATAAATAACATAGTTATGTATAATATATTACATTTCTGACTGTATATCCCTCTAATTATTACACACTGTAGCTTTAAGTCTCATAATACAATAAAAAGTCACTGTGGCTGTAAATCCTATCAAGTAGCATATTGGTTCCTGTCAGAGTAATAATTCAAAGGAAAAATCAAATAAAAGGATTTTTCATTTTTTAACATTTACACTACAATGAACTCGCATATCAATTTTATGTTAAAAGAAAAATGTCTTAACTATGCCTTTCGTTGTACTGGTGACTAGTCTATACTTACCCAGCTGAAAATATTGTACATCAGAAGGCAAGGTCGTGTTTGATGGATGCTCATCGATGTAGCACTGTGCAGAATGGGCATGCCAGTAAGCCATTAATCTTGCAATGAAAGAGGTCATAAAAATGGCCAAAATACTGAAGTCCAGAAGGTTCCATGGTTCTGAGATGTACTCCTGAAAGTTCTGCAACCAAATATCTTTACACTCCTCCCATATCTTACCTGTTGGGAAGAAAAAATAAACAGTTTTATTGTGCCTAGAGCCACTTAGTTTCTATTTGATATACAAAAACAAGGAATAGTACAGTGAAGAATAAAGCCCAATTAACTCAATTCAGTTATGGGTCTGTCATGAAACAAAGAGTTTCCATTAACACGTTTAATCAAAAAGTTTCGTATTAAACTGTTAGAATATTTATTTTTGATGTGCAAGAATTATCTGTTTTTTTGCTGTTCTTTTAGGATGAATCACATAATTTACAGGAAGTTGCACAATTTTAAAGTTGATAGCACTTTGAAGTGGAGGTTGTATTGAATGGATCCTCACTTTCTTTATTATTCATTAGTTTAGCCTCAGCTCCCTCAGAAACAAAAATAGACTGCAGGGTATTGGAAGAGTATGCAGCAAAATGCAGGTATTCACCTGAATGACCTCACTGCCCTTTACCAGCTCAGAACCCCATCCCTGGGGATCAGAGAACTCCCTGCAGCTATTGCTTTCCCTTTTGTGTGTTTGTTACTTAATTGTTTGCCTCCTACTGTTAGCTGTAAAACAAATTGCCCTATGGGAACAATAAAGATTCCTTGAACCTCTAATATAATAGAGGCTTGAGGTTTTTTTTTTGTAAATATGGCCTATAAAACTCATGCAAAGAGACTAGAAGTAGGGGAGCAATATTAAGAATATAAAGAACTGGCTTGAAATATAGTAGGCAAAAAAAATCCATCCTATACAGTGCTGGTCAGCAGTAACACATTTACAATAATAATTGTTGTATTATTTCTAACTTTTCACTCTAATGGCTTTATTTTTAAGGGGAGACGAAATACAACATACATGTATAATTGTTACGGAGCTCCTCTGATGACATGGTAAAAAAAAAAATTTTATTGTGGCCACGTAGTAGTATTTCGTGCGCACGAAATACTACTTTGTGGCCAGGCAATAAGTTTAACGTGCGCATGAAATACTTATTAATAATATTAATATCATTCCTGGACAACTGGGTAAGCAAATCGAGCTCGCCTTAGACCTTAGAGAAGGCGATTTGCGATTGATTTGCTTACCCAGTTGTCCAGGAATTATATTAATATTATTAATAAGTATTTCGTGCGCACGTAAAACTTATTGCGTGGCCACAAAGTAGTATTTTGTGCGCACGAAATACTACTTTGTGGCCACAATTAAAATTTTTTTTTACCATGTCATCAGAGGGGCTCTGTAAATTATAACAAGAAAAATAAAGATTTTTTTTTTTACGTTTTCTCTAATTCACATAGTCACAACACATACATTACCACCTATATTTTATGGAATATTTCTTTTCAATTTGCAGAGAAAAAAAAAACACTTTTTGATGCCATCTAAAGGTCTGGCTTAATTTTTGCTGCATATATATTCATTGTTCTTATCTGAATTTACATGACTCTTATAAAGTCTGTGTGGTTTGGTTTATGTTGTTGTTTTTTGTCATAAGCACAGCTCTCAATGCACAGCAAGTTACTATATAAAGCAAGTTTCAGTCATAAGGAATATAAAGTTGTGTACATGAGAAAAACAAAACAGTAGGTTGAAGTGGCATACCAAACTAATGCTGATTCAGTAAACATTTTAATTAAAACAGTCAAATGAAAAACTAAACAAATGTGTTTTTAACCTTGATTCAAAGAAACTTAGGATTTCAAAACGGCCGTGTGAAAGTTTTTTTCCTAATCAGTGGAGGTTTAGAACTGCTTCTTTGCCATGTTTAGATCTGGATCTGGGTATGCAGAGTAGATCTGAGTAAGAAGACCAGAGAGACTTGGAGAGTTGATACAAAAAGTCTGTTTCTTGGTGTAAAACCTTTTTGGCTTTATAGACTAACAGACGAAGGGAGTCAGTGTGAGGACTTTCTTCTTAGTTCTAGTGAGGACACAGGCAGCAGTATCCTGGATTAACTACAACTGCAACTGACATTTTAGTAGAACTATGAAAACACTGTAAATGTAGCAAATCAATTCAACTAAAGATAAATCTAACGATTGGTTTTTCAAGATCAAGTTGAATTAGTCCTTTAACCCTTTAAGCCCTGAGGGTCTTAGGAACAACTTCCGCATCAAATTAGACATGTGAGTTAGAGCAAGTATAGCTATAAATTGGAAATAAATTAGTTTTTATTTGTATGACAGAAAGGCACTGAGGAATATTTTTCAGGTGGAACCACTATTTGAAATGTCACCATTTCTGATTTATAGGTGTTTAAACAAAGACAAAAATTAAAAATATTTAGACTTTTCTTTTTTTTTTTTTTTTTCAAAATAAACACTGCATAACACCTTGAACCCCCATTTGGAACTCTGGATGAAGCCTCTGACTTTATAGATCCACATCATGAGTATGACTCAAGCAAATTTGGACTGAATAAGTTAACGCATGTTTTTTCCACAAAGGTTTTAGTGAACAGTGTGCTAGGTGGAAATGGGATTTTGGCATAGTATCAAAAGAGTAAAAACACATTTTTCCACTCATGAAAGGGAATCTGGCTAGACAAATATGCTGGTTTACATTAAAAGAGACCTTGTGCATTAGACAAAGCCTTCTCTCCTAAGATTTAGCCGTTCTTTCATTGCAGTTTACCAATAATATCTCCAAATTTTGTAGAAAATAGGAATAACAGAGCTTATGTAACACATGCCAGTTACAACACCTGAAATTGTCACACAATTACCTCCGACCCCTCATTGGAGCCTTTAGTTTGGAAATGATACTGGCCGTTAGGGGTGGGGCTAAAAAGTAATACCTGCTTTTGCACTACTCTTTCAGAGTCATACATGTAAGGTGGAATTTTAAATCTCATTTTATTTGTTAACACAGCTAGAAAACAAAAATTACTTATTTGAAAAAACATTTTGAAACACGTTTTAGAATTTTTAAAGCCCCATTTGAAAGGCATGTGGATGAAACACCATGTGACTGTGTTTTGGCCATTTCTATAAATAGATAAACATTAGTATGTGTCAGTTGGGCCCTGGAGATGTTATTCAGGTGATGGGCAGTCAACTTTAGGTGACAGAAAGCTGCCTCCTTTGGTCCAAATATCTTTACTTGCATTTTGTTTTTTCAGCTAAAGAAGAATTGGCACATTTATTCTTTGAATAAGTAAATATCTTTGAATAAGGGAAATTTAAATGAAAAAAATATGAATGAGGTCTTTCCACAGGGAAGTTTTACTTCACCATGAGCTGATAGGTTACTGACCAAGAAAAAAACAGCACTGCAAAATTATCACATAAAAGCATGGTTGAAATTTGGAGTTTTGACAAGTAAAAAGAAGAAATGTTTTACCATCGGAAGAAACAAACAGTCAACAATGTGACCAAAATCACTGAAGGGAGTCAGGTGAGGCTTTTTAAACCTTAAAATAACTTCCCAACAGTCAAACATGATTATGGCAGCATCATGAAGAGGGTTTGTTCTATCAGCCGTAATAGTAAATATTGCCCAACATTACCTTAAATCAAACCTACATTATTTAAAGGTGCATAAGTTGTAATGTAACACCAGAGCAATGAACCAAAATACATAAAAATGGGTTTTAGAATGGAAACAGCAAAGTCATGCTTGCGTTTTGAAAAGCAATGATCTATAAATGTTTATAGAAGTCAACAAATTTATACCAGATCTACCAATTCAGGTCAGGTCAACTATCCAGCCAAGAAAATGAAGAAGCTCATGAGTAACAAAAAACGACATGTAGTTTCCCTGCATGTGCCAGAGGATATTTATTTAAAAAATAGTGAAGGTACATGCATATTGCATATTTCAGGCTGTATGCATGATTTTAGCTAAGATTATAACGTATTAACGTTGTGTGCCATATAATCATTCCAATCTGGAAAATGAAAAATGTAGTTTAAGTAGCCCTGTCTTATACTAGATATCTGATTCTTCCTTATGTTCCTAACAGACCACTTTGTTCTCACTGTAGGTTTATTGGTGGCTCCAAAAATAGAGAATGGGAGGCCGATCTTTTAGTCATCAACGCCAGGTTTTTGGAAACATCCTTAAATACTAAGATCTGACAATCAGTTACTGCATAACAAGGATTTTTAAAACACTTTGAAGATGTAACAAAACAAAGACGCAAGAAAATGTGCTTTAACAATACCTATGACCCAGAAAATAATAAGTATCTCCATCCAGGTAAAGCGGGTAGTCTTCATGCGAAAAACTTGTGAGGGGTAATCATGGGTGGTCATGTTTGGCAGTAGCGATGTCCCTGCAAAGCGGTCCGCTGCATTCAGAACCAGCAGACAGAGGAATATGATGAAGGAAGCTGCATGAGCCACGAACTTGAGGAAAGGTCCACGCATAAGTTTCCCCAACTGTGACAGAAATGTGATGTTGAGAAAAGAGTAAATAGATTACATTAAAGTATCAGATTTTCAGCTTATGGTATATCTTTCTGTAAACAAACTTCCAATATTTTATGTGAAAAAAGAACTGGTTAAAATCATGTGACATGTTTTTAACTAACCTTACTTGATGGTGCTATCCAGTAAATAAAAGCCAGAACAGGTAAACCAACAGCTACACCGAGGACAAGAAGAATTTTAACTGCTATTGTTTGCTGATGCAGTCCAGTTAAGTTTTCATACCAGATTGATCGTAGATGTTGCTGACAGTTTGGATGAGCCACAAACTGCAAAAAACGAGGTAGGTACAGAAAAAACAAAAAAAAATTTAGAAAGGAAAAAAAAATAGTCATAATACAGGGACAAAGTTCAATGTATTTTGTTTGAATTTTATGTAAAAAATAAAGCTAAAAAATAGTTTCTGCTAAGGGGAGGGAAAACATTTCTTGAAATTTGCATCAATAAAATGTTTTAAATATGGGAACCACATACATATAGACTCTAATTTCCGGATGCAGCTGTTTGGGGCTAAAGATTTCTCCCTCAGGTGTTAAAAACAGAAACATTATGCTCTCTGTATGTATTGAGGCCCCATTGCTCTAAAATCCCTGAATAAAATCCAGCAAGACAGAATTTCTTCAGAAATTGCCTTAGTTATGTCATATAACACATCTTCTAAAGAAATATTAAACTGTCCTTTTTAAGTTTCTTAAGGTTGGGATTTTGTTTTATAACCTTGACTTCTGCACAGCTTTATCTCTTAGCTGTTTGTTCTTCTCTTTGGTTTTTATTACAGGGAATTTATTTCTAAAGGTGTGACCTCTAAAGACTGGGTAGGAGAAAACCATTGCTGGAAGTAAACCATATGACTTTTTGTGAAAAAGATTAAACTAGAGTGGATATGTGGAGGCAGATATTCTAAGCAAGCAAACAAGACCAGAAAGAAACTTTTTGTGCGACAAATGGCATGCATGACCCTGAACACCACATAAAGCATGGATATGCCAGCATCCTGCTATGGGGATGCTTTTTGATGCACAAACAGGAAAGCTGGTCAAAGCTGACAGAAATACAGGGTATTCCAGGAATAAAACCTATTAGAAGCCACAAAAGCTTAAGGAAAATGTTTAGATAAAAAGTATAGATGTGTCAGAATGGTCCAGTCAAAGTTTGGACCTAAATCCATTTGACTTTCAGCTATCCAGCTGAAATTAAGCTATTAGGAAAGAAGGACTGACAAAATTAAATGTCTGTCATTTCTCAGCTTAATACTATACATTAAGGTAAAATGTTGAGTTATATCTCTTTTAAATAAGAATGTTAATAAGTGCTTTTTATAAAGCCTTAATATAGAGAATATTATTAAGGCAAATAAAAAAAAAAACACTCTTGAAAACTATATACCTCTTTAACCTCATATTTTATTGCAAGTTTCAACCTTATCAGGTTTGGCCTGCCAGAGATTTCCTGGTCAGCACAGGATTCTGTGTCACCATTTAGGACGGCTTCCACTTCTTCAGTATTCCGACACAAATCCAAGAGTCCCACCACAAAATCCTTACATTGCATGGACAGCCTCTCGTAATCATTCTGTAATACAGAGAAAGAGACACACAGAATACAGTAATGAACTCAGTTCCAGATGAGTGATTACATTTCATTTAGGACATAAAATCAGATATTTAGACATAGATGTTTCTTCTGCATTTTGCACCATATCTATTTATTATATGTATTTATTTATTAAATTATATATATTTATTTTATTTTTGCTCTGCTATGAATATTCCACATCAATGCGTTTTGCACCATGTCTTATCTACACTGTTTACATTTTGATCACTGCTGCACTTTATAAATGGGAATATTCATTTCACTGCTAGCTGTTGCTCATTCACTGTTGAAAAGCTGTATGTATCGAAATTTCGTTTTGTATACACTCTGTATACAAAAGGACAATACAATTTGTTTAAGTCTAAGTCTAGATGAAAAGGGATTTAGAATGTTTTGCTTTAGTTTGGACAGCAGAATGTGCCTTCTTTATTGCCATACCTTAAACTCTTTCTCAGCATTGGCCAGAACGGCGAGTTCATTGCTCAGCTCCAAAGCTACCATCACGGGGTCTTCATTTGAAAGGCAAAGATATGCTGGACTTGCCAGACCTTTGTAAGCGCTGATACGAGACAGAGAGTGGCAAAAGGAGTCACGCCTCTGATGCTCAATGCAGGCCTTGCATTGACAGAAGTAGTCATGTGGACGCTCTATGCGGGCCCCCCTCAAAAGTAGCATGTGTACGATCTCAAACTCCTGGCACTGGGAAGCCAGGATAATGGGAGTGATGTCATGAGAAAAACGTGTGCCATCCTCATCATATGAGAAAAAATCATCTTGTGTCTCCTCCAGACTGGGGCTGTTTGTCAGCCTCTGACCGTCAGTGAAGGCCTCATGGCTCAATATGGCTTCTACTATGCGGATGTACCCTTTACTAATGGCTAACAGCAAGGCATCTCCTACTTTTGCAAGTTCCTTCTTTTTAAGCAAAAGCTTGACCACTTCTAAGTGCTCGCTTGCAACTGCCAGCTGCAGTGCATTCTGACCCATGTAGTTGACACAGTTGATGTTGAGGTGAGGAAGCTCCTCCAGCATCCGTCTCACTTCAGGGATGTTGCCATACTCTGCAGCTTCTAGAAACACCTCCTCAGTGATGGAAAGGCAGGAGGAAGGGTGAGCTTTGAACAGGTACCCAGCTCCCCGTGCAGTTTGTCTCCGGGGTTTGGCACCTACATGCCCCATCATCACCAAGGTTCGCCTTTCCCTGATCCATCTGAAAACAGATGAACATATTTCGGTAATATGGTAGTATAATAAGAAAGAGCGCAACTTGCATTGCAGAGGTATCTATATTGCCTGAACATTTTCACACTTTGTTGTTTCACCACTTCCCATCAAACTGTATTATATACATTTTGTATAATAGATGAAAACAAATAATAGGATAATTCTGAGGACAATTTATGCTTCATTGATCAGTTTTTTATATGTGATAGCAATTCATAATTCAGCCTTACTAAATAAATATTTGTAAACCAATATTTTGCTGCAATAAATAAGTATTTGGGCTATGTTTCTACAAGAGTTATCTATCAAGCGACCATTTTTGCTCATTCTTTTTTGTAAAACAGCTCAGGAAGGGTCAGGTTGCTTGAAAACCATCTGTCAACAAAAATTTTCATTTTTTTCTCTGGACTTTGAATGCTTACACATTTAATATATTCATATCCGATTAAGGAAATGTGAGATTGCTATTCCACAAATGAAATTTAGAGCTTAAAGGGCATTAACGCCTCTCAGGGTATCTCAATAGAATTTCGTGTATTAGTTTTAGCTTAGCCCTTATTTCTTGGAAAGGTGTAGATGACGTTTTCAGTTAGGTCTGTTGTCCATTATAACTTATACCTGGTTTAGTTGTCTAATGCTACCCACCTATTCATCATCTCCCCTTTTATCTTGCAAAATAATTTGTTAGTTCCCTTTTGTTTCTTCTGAGAGACATTTTTTCAATTGCCTTTTTATTTAATTGATCAGGAAAATCAAATAACAACAATTATATTTAAAAAAAATTGATGCTCAGGCCCAGTCTTTACTTACACTTTTAGAAGTCAACCATTAAAACTAAAAATAAATCAACAAATCTTATATAAGGTTAAATAGAACAAGAGTCAATGTTCGACTGCATTTTTTACCATATTAATTCATTTGTTTTGCATTGCACTGAATCTTTCCATATCAATACTTTTGCACCATGACTCTAAATTGGTTTTCCTTCTTTCCTACACTGTTTTACATTCTTGATCATAGCTGCACTTTATAAATGGAAATGTTCATTTCACTGCTGTAAGCTGCTCATTCACTATTCAAAAGCTGTATACATTGAAAATTCATTTTGTATACTGTCTGTGTATACAAAATAACAATAAAGTGTGTCTATACTAAACTAACAAAAATAAGACTTCAATACAGCCCTTGGAGTACTATTGCAAAGTAATTTTTTTATGATTAACAGAAAAAAACTAAAAGAAAAATATTACGCATAGAAAGGCTGGGGTATTGTTTCTCATGTAAAAGTACTAAAGTGTAATATTTGAGAATAGATGGAAAACTACACAAAATCTGAGGTTTATTTAGCTTTTTTAGAATTGTAAAGAATATTAATTAGCTTTGCCAGAAAAATATATATTTTTTTATTTGACCATAATTATAAATTTGTGGCTATTTTTACATTAATCATATCTTGTGTTGCAGTCAAATGACTCCAGTTACTCTGTTCAGTAAATTGCATTTCAATAACATGGTTATCCCTGGAGATTATTGCTTCTGCACAATTGCTGCAGATGACAAATGAGAACAATGCTTCTTAATTTAGCAATAATTAGTGATAACTGTATTACCGGCATTAAGCAACCTTGTGTGCATGTAAAAAAAAACATGATATTCTTCTCCCTTAGTGATATCAGGTACAAAGCTGAAACCATTTAAATCAAACATGCAGGTCCATTGTTTCAAAAGCAGGTGATCTTAAATTCAAAACTAAAATAGAGTGTCCATAACAAAAGTTAGGACCTTAAGATGAATGCTTATGAAAAGCTATTTTTTCCTGTAAAACAGAGAATTTTACTGGCCTTGATTTCTGAGAATGCCTTAAAGACAGAGTCCTGCTGCGCTTCATCCTGATGAACAGGAAGCACTGATGCTCGTCAGGATGTGATGGCTTTGACTGTAAAAATACGTACAATTATAGGAAACATAAGCACTCTAAAAGCTATCATACCATTGATAGTTAATACCATTATTTTGTGGCAATAAAAGGAAAATGGTGAACTGACCTGTTGGAAAATTCCAAGAAGCTCTTCCGCTCAACTCAGCAGAGGCTGGTCCTGTTAATAACCTCTATGCCATTCATAGATCAAATTATAATGGAGGAAATATTACATCCAAACACGGCCAGCTGGACCTCCAGCAGGAACCACCTCATATTTGCCTCAGTGCCACCTGTCAGACTGACACACTGTCACAGTATGCCAACCACCTATGGTTCTCATGGATCTTGTGTTTGTGAGCAGAGTGGGCGGGTTTTGGACAGATGTATAGGTGTGTCCTACCGCAGGATTATTTCCCTTCTTTGTTTTCAATATATATCCCTTTAAGCCTTTACAGAATATAATTTTATAGTATTTTTTATGTACAAATCAATTCTAGATAAACAAAAGTGAAACCATGCACATGTATTAGATTAGGGCATTGTTTTAAATAACCAGACTTTATCCACTTCCGATTTTAGATGGATGTCTGTCTCAGTGTGTTTTATCCACACTGTGAACACAGACAACGCAATGTCCTAAAATGTTTCTCCATGTTTTGAGGGAAACAAGCAAATGAAAAAGCGGATTGTCTCAAATCCTCTTAACTCATGATGCAATCAAAAACTGGGGGTAAAAGGCTAGGAAAACACCTAGTTTTTACTCTAGGCAAGGAAAATAATAAACGGAGACAGTGTGAAATGGGTTTATATTTAATCAGTCTAAAATCTACTTGGAAGCACTTGTTTGCATCAAAGCTCCTTTATGGTGGTCTGCATGTCAGCTTGAATATTACACATTTTGTTACTCCACTCATTTTCCAATACTATAATTAGCATGAACAGCAATAGGATATAAACAAAGGATAAGAATTTCTCTTAGTATGCATAAAAGATCTGCGTTAGTATTTGTGTGGCCTGTTTAAAATCACAACTCCACAGGGGTACATCAACGAAATATGTTTTAAGATGTCCTTAAATAAGGTTAATTTAAAATCTGGAAGTAGACATGAAAACATTTTAATGTATGTTTTTCTGCTTTGAACAGAAATTAAAAATAATGCAATGTATCAAGATTTTATTGATTAAATTCGAAAAACTATTTTAAAAGGTAGTTCTGTTTTTCATAATCTAATCAAAGATTATATTTATATTTACTTTAAGTATGATAATAACTATGGTTTTACGGCTAATAAAGACATAACATGGTAAGAAATGTTATGTTTGTTTGTTATGTAATATGGTCACACAGTCATAATATTTCATACGATATGAGACAGCTGACTGATATTTTTTACAGCAGACAGTCACACATTTTCTCAATACACCAAATTAGGTGTTAAACATGATAGAAGTTCAAGGAGACCTGAAACAAATGAATAGCTTCAAAAGTTGAGCGGAAAGATGAAGTTGGATATAAATAAAAATAAATAAATAAAAAGCAACTTGGATAACTGGAGCCTTGGGGAGCATGGTAAGGCAAAACCGATATGATGGCTTGCGGGGAGATTAACAAAGTGTGTACAGCCACACAAATGCAGATATATCCAGAAGATATGCAACTATTTCATACTATTGTGTTTTATTATTTATTTTTTTTATGGTATGGTTTTAGATCAGTCAATAAAAGTGCAAGGTGTGTCTATTTCTGCTCGGTTTATTCCGCATCTCTGTTAAATAAACGCTGTGAATGGAGAGGAAAAAAAGAAACTAAATTTACAATTAAAATAATTGGCATCTTGAAGACCTCGGCAGAGGCACAAGCTCATCTCCTGCTTACCAAACTATATAGATGCAGTAATGAATTTAGAGGAAGCACACAATTAATAGGCAAGCAAAAAGTAGACTAAAGTATGTTTTTGAAAGTCATTTGTCTAACATGTAATAATGCAAGTTTCTGGAAAAACTAAAGTTGGGGTTGTATTCAGTTTAATGCCTTTCCCCTTTTCTTTACATTTATTTTAATCAACCTGATAATCTTAGTGAAAGGGTCCAATAATTTAATTGAAACATGATAAAAACATATAACCTCCTGCCACCGTAGCTTAGTACCCAGTTTTGTTTTATTTTCAACTGTCTTCTTTTTAATTTCCGACACTTTTTGGTGTACCTGAAGGCAGCAGCGTGGTCGTTAAGGAACTGCGAGGTGGTTGCTATGGTGGAGAGACAGTACACAGAGCGGACACTCATACCTATCTCTGTCAGATAACTTTTCCCCTGTAGTTTTAAAAACGAATCCAGAGGATCCAGTCTTTGTTTTATTAGAGAAAAGCATCACTGCTTGGATTTGAAAATAACACAGTCGCAGCAGAAACGGCAGAATCAACGGCAGCAAAGAGGGACCCGACATTTCTATCCGTTCATCAAAGATCCTGGGAGGATGCAAGGAAGCTTCTCATATCTCTTGTATCCTAAAATGATTTGTGTTATTATTCTTATAGATACAGTAAATGACTTTGCCAAACATAAACACGTTAAATGGTAAAAATGTGCTGAGGTGAAGTTTGGGATTAATGTGTAACTGTTTAATTTATGAGATTATGAAATCTTCAAATTAAAAGCATTGCAAGTTTAGAGCCTTAGACAGATTTTATTTTGTAATTTTGTACACACGCGTGTATACATAAAGAAATTTCGTTAAGTACAGCTTAATTTTTTATAAGTTTATCCGTATATTACAGTTTATGCGATTATTTAAATAGGTTTTTTTATTTTTAATTAGTGAAATTAGATTGTAGTATTGTATTTAAGGAGAGTTTAAAAAGTTGGACTAAATGTTCCCTAATAAATAAATTGAAATTTATTGATCTCACAATGGAGAAATCAACTCTGTATTTAACCCATCCCCTTTGGCGAGGCATGGGCTGCCATTGTGTGGCGCCAGGGAGCAATCTGGGGGTTAAGGGTCTTGCTCAGAGACCCAGAGTGGCAGGCTTTGGGAGTGGGTTTCAAACTCACAACCTCAGGATTCCAAGCCCAATGCTATGACCTTACCTCTAAGCTGCCCCTCCCACTATAATGATGTTTCAGGTAGAGGGAGCGAGTGGAAGCGCTTTATTTTAGTGAGGACATTGGCAGCAGTGTTTTGAATTATCTGCAGCTGCTAACTTTTAGAAGACTCTGCAAAGGTGTCAGAGTCCATCCAAACACACAGATTTCTGGCCTGAGTGTTTTTTAATTATTGAAGCTGCTGACTTTTTGATTGCTCATCTTTGGGTCCAAAGTTAACAGCTCTGGTTTTGTTTTTTCAACTGAAGAAAGTTCTAGCACACTTTTTGTCAAGTTTTTCTTCTTAGCACAATATTTCACTTCCAGACACTCCAGACTGGGATCCGATGTTAATCTGGAAAAAGAGCGACAACATTTGATTCAGCAGCAGAAGTTAAGCAAGGCCCGGGCTCGGAAATGTTTGCTGGAAACGAATCGACGGAGAAAGTCAGTTTCTCTCTTCGCTTTCTTTCTTTAATTATTTTTTTTTTCCTTTGCTGTGAGAAGATGTTTGCAGGTTACAACCCAAACATTTTCAGGGAGACTAAGATTACAGGACCTGAGTTCCTTGGCTCTCACCCTGGAAAATGTCTCTGTTGCCCTATATAATCTATCACTTATTAGTGTGAGATCTAAAAGGAGTCAACTGACAGCTTCTGCTGGTCTGAGTTTGCCAGCTTGTTATTTCTCTGAGGGCTAAAGCTGCAAAGGTCTTTTGTGCATGGATATAAAGTCTCTTAGCCATACTAATGCTTTTGTATGTGTCTTTCTGTATCAGCAAAAGTGTAAAGGGTGTAAAGTTCTGTTTTAAACAAAGACAAATGTATTTCGTTATGAAAGGAAAAATCTTGGAGCTTCCTTCTCTTCTTTCTTTCTATTGTGTAACGATTCAGAATTTGTCTTTGTGCTGATGTTTTGCTGTATAGTTTAAGAGATTATAAACTCTACAGCTCCTAAGAGGTTAATTGATTAACATAAGTGCACACATATTTCATTTTGCATTACAACCACAAACCACAATGGTTTTCAGTTAGATCATATAAAACTGATTTTTGGGAAGTGGAATTAAAATATTACTTGATATTCAAACGCCTGAAACAAAACAAAAAAGTTTCAGATGTTTGCACTAATACCCCAAATAAAATCCAGAGCCTTTAGAGGTTCCCCAAATAGGTAAACAGGGTCCATCTTTGTTGCAATTACACCTTCATGCCTAGCAGTATGCCTTGGCCAGCTTTCCACAGAGTTTTTCCCTATTTCTTTGGAGAATACTGTAAGTTGTTTCAGAGCCTTTTAACATTTTTGAATGAAGGTCTTTTTTTCTTGCAGGTGTTCCATAGAGGGAAGATTTGTGGAGTCGGAAGCCAATAGTTTTTTTTTTCTGTTTTTTTTTTTTTTCTCTCAACAGATTGAGACTGAGACTATTACCAGTAGAGCAGCCTATTTAGTTACCAGATGTCTTTGAATGCCTCTCTGATTAATAATCTCTTTGTCCAGCCTCAATTTAGGTGGACAGCCACGTCTTTCCATGTTTGGTTAATTCATTAACACTGTAATTCCCAAACTTTTTTTGCTGGGCCCCCTTTAAAGACAGGTTTTGCACCCTCCTCCCCCAAACCAGCCTTTTCAACTGTATACTGCATTTCATAACATCTTAAAAATAATATAAACTACAACTGGGCTGCACAGTGGGGCAGTGGGTAGCACTGCTGCCTTGCTGCAAGAAGATTCCTGGTTCAATCCCCTGCTCAGGGTCTTTCTGCATTGGGTTTGCATGTTCTCCCTGTGTATCCACAGTGCAAAAACATGACTGTTAGGTTGTTTGGCTTCTCTAAATTCTCATTAGGGGTGAGTGTGTGCGTAAATGGTTGTTCATCGTGTTTGTCTCTGTGTTGCCTTGCAACAGACTGGGTGTACCTCGCTCTTAGAAAGCTGGAGATAGGCACCAGTACCCCTTGCAATCCCACTAGGGAGAAGCGTGATGGAAAATGGACGGATGGATAAACTACAATCTTCTTCAAATCACAAAACTACCACTTTTAGATTGTAATCATTTTAAGAATTCAACATTACTATTAATACTTACAAAAAAAACTCAAAATGGGTCATTTGTTGAATTTATTTCCTGCATGCCTGAATGCATGTTGCCCGGCTCTTGGCCTCCTTAGCCATTGCGGCGAGCTGATATAAATTAAAGATGACTGCTATTTGACATTTCTGAAAGAAAATAATTTTTTGAATATAAAATGTTTCTGCAAAACATGAAAACATGGGATTCTCAAATGACTGTGTTTGTGGCTCAGGGCTTTGGAAGAACGACAGAAACAACTGGAAATTCAGGAGGAGCGGCTGAGAGAGAACATCCTGCAACAGCGCAGACAGAGAGTGGAGGATGCAACCAAGCGCTTTCAGAGAGCCAATCTATCACCATCCCAGAGATACAGGCAAAGTTAGTGTTGTGTTTCACACACGCAACGCACAACTACAAGCTCATTTATTAACAACTTACACTTAACATTAGTGTTTCCTTTATTTTACAGCTTTCAGAAACAAGGCTACTAATATTGAAGACGCACTCAGTCAAATCCAAAGCTCCTTGGCTTCGTATAACCAAGACTCCTCTGCACTGTCCACAGCAAATACTCATGGGTATAATGCCTGACTTTAAATTGCTCATACTTTGGACACATAATAGCAAAAATAACAATACAGCTTCCCTTTATATCTCACCAATATATTGATTTTTGATATGCACTGCCTGGACAGGAAAGGTCATGGGGTTATATTGATATTTGGTTAAGCCTTCAAATAAATGAAACATGTGCCACTAAAAGTATTTTTGACAAGTGTCCAGAATGTTATATTTATTTTCTTTAAAGATTTGTGTGAAGTTTTTGCCAAGAATTAACAAAATAGCGAAAACAAAACAACTGAACTTCCATTTCCTGCTAGTGAGGAAGAAGACAGGTTTCTCCCACACCAAATCAAATCTTTGCCACAGGGAATTAGGAGATTTCTGAAGACAAAATAAGGTCTAAACTGGTTCTATGATGGTGTGACACTAAAGTAGATGGTGAGCGTAAATCTGAACCATATATATAAAAAGGGTGCACTAGGGGAGAACTCATTATTTCCACTCACAAGAACACAAAGTTTTAGGCATAGTAATGTAGCAAAGATCAGTTATGTCACATTACTTTGTCTGCTAATATCATTCTGAAATGAAGAACTGCACAAATAATGAGACTATAGTGTAATTTTTTATTGGTCAAGAGCTTATCATTGCTCTTTGACAAAAATAACTTCATCAGATTTATAGTTAATCAGAACTCCCCTTATTTGTTTTCTTCCTTTTTGATAATATGGCCAGTTTGAGAACATAGCAACAACTTTTGCAAACTATGTAATATATTTGCTGAAAAGGCTTTTCGAGGAATGAAGTAACTCACTGTCTCCGCTGGGTTAGTTCATTCCTCGATGTGATTTTTCTTACTGGAATTTTAGGTTTTTTTTACTCTTAATTTTCTAGCTGAGGGAATAATATTCAATTTAACTTTCTCTCTTTTCTCCTTGAAAAAGTTGCCCTTATTCTACAAAGCCTCCCACAGATTCTAAATCCTCTCACCGCCAAGCGCTCTCTGCTGTGGAGGCCTACACTAAGCTGCTTCAGGAGCAGTGCACCATAGAGGAGGTATTTATGTTTTTTTTCCATTTTAACATTGTGGATACGGGTGCTAAAGCAGAGCTTTGTCCCTTTACCTGCTGATGTCAAAAAGTTGCTTTGCTATGTATAGCATTTTTGTTATTTTTTTATAAACGAAAGATGAAAAAAATTCGATGTCCATTAGCATTTAACTCCCCTGGTTTCAGAATTTGTGTGACCACCTTTTGCTTTTGCTTCTTTTAGGAAATGTCTCCACATTTTCAACAATTTTTTTGTTGAATACCCTTTATAGAATAGCTACAGCTCAGTTGGACAGGATTTAGAGAACTAGAGAACATCACTTGTCAACTTTTTCCACATATTATTAGTTATAATTTAGGCTTGACTTTTTCTTGGATGACCCAAGCATCTAAATGTTTTTCATTTAAAAACATCACATCGTAGCTCTGGCTGTATTTTTATGTCTTGGGGAAAGATAAACCACGACTCTAATGAGGAATTTATCCATAAATTTTTGTATATTTTTATTTGGAAATAGTTAATAAATAAGTAGTTTTACTAGTAGTTATACCCTGACAAAATATTTGAAAGTTGAAATGGGATTTTAACACACACACACACACACACACACACACACACACACACACACACACACACACATATATATATATATATATATATATATATATATATATATATATATATATATATATATATATATATATATATATATATATTGTTTTGTTGTTTTTAAAGGTGTACTGATACGTGAGACACCACTAGGGGGCAGCACTAGCTTTTAGGCATTCAATTATTCTGAATAGTGTCTTTATTAAATATTAATTATTTGATTTTCCAACTGCCTTGAATGTCTTATGTTCTGCTGTTTTACTTACTCTTTTCTTATTTACATGTTTAGTTTATAATATTTAGTTTTAGAGTAAATTATTTAACTTCACATAAATTCCTGCATAAATATTTGAAGAGCTCTAACTACTTGTTACCAAAGGTAGGCTGAGTGTCTGTAGCTCTGATCAGAATTTACTTTGTTTGGTCAAAACCAAAACAAAAAAATTAAGTACTGGTATCTAGCTGTTTTGAAAATGTTTATTTAAAGATATACCAGATCCGCTCCTTCCACTGGTTATCCTTTTAAAATGATCATAGCTCTTGGTTGCACTCTAAAGTATTTGTAAAAATATGAATCAGTGCTTTGGATCTTTATTTCATACTTTTTTTGCCTCCTTGTTTTAGGGAAGCCAGCATTCTGATTCCTTGGTTTCTGAAAGCCTGTCAAGTAAGGACAGTTTGGAAGATGAGGATGAAAGCCCATTAAATCTGCACAGCTCCTATTCATCATTCTTTCTAGATTCAGAGAACCAGAAAAAACAAACTGATCTGAATTCAACATCAGACCAAACTGCAGTCTCAGCGATGATGCTTCTTGATCCAAATCCAGCCAAACTTAGAAAATGTGAGGATTGCGAGCCAGAAAACCAAGAGAATTCTAATCGTTGGACTAATAACAACATGGTTGTATCCAAAACCTCTCTGAGGTTCTCATCTGAGAAGCGAACACCAAATGTAGATAACCCCCTAACTCTTAAGCATTGTGATCCATTAACTCGTTCCTCCCCTCTTAATAGAGACTCAGTGCATTTGATGAACAGTCAAAGCAAAAACCTTCTGGTAACAAATGAAGTTGGTACTGTTGATGCTGAAGAGGAAGCTTTATGTCCGAAAAAAGATCCTGCTAGATCTCAGATCAATGATAGTCAATTAAACTATTCCTCCACTCAGTACAATAATTTCTCTCATGAAAACAGCTTTCCATTTGAGTCACCGATGAAAAAAAGCACAGCCAATGATCACCCAAATGATACATTCTTTTTCCATATAGAGAAAGAAAATTTCCACCTGTCATCAAAGAAAGAAATCTGTGCTTCCATAAATAATCTCAATAAGGTCTCGAACTTAATATTTGAAACAGAGAAGCCTAAAAATGCATCATTGCCATCATATTCAGACCCATCTAATATTCAGATAGAGACAGAGAACTGCCCAAAAGAAGAAGATATCAGACTACCTATTTCAATGCCCCCCTCTGTGTCAATATGTGATATCAGATTTCTTAAAGGAATCCTCAAAAAACAGTCTAAATATACTATAGAAGATCCCTGTTTGCATGATTCGGGGGGTTTAACATTGGCAAAACATGTAGCATTAGCAATAAGAGACAGTATTGAATTGACAAGAGCAAAAACAAAAGATGTGGTGGTCAATAACACCATGAAAAAAAAGCTTCGTTGGTTTGATGAGGTGCTTCCAGATAAGGCGGGTAAAGAGCAAAACAAAATGAAACAGGATAAAGGCATGTCTCACAGTCTTTTTAATCCAAAAAACGGCTCAAAGGACCACCATCAAGTTCTTACTACAGAGGCCGAGTCTTCAAAGCCTGCATCGGGAATGACCCCCACAGATCCTGCTGGTTATCACTTTACAAAAGAAGCATGGGCAGATGTTGGGGTTCAAGTAAACTTGCCCCAGGAGCAAGCAGACGAGGTCAAGGCGCAGCGTACCAACACCAGGACTGTTGGACCAAAGGTTCCTCGGAGAACTCATAATGCCACTGTTGTTGGGGGTCCTATTTCCTCCGTGACAAGAAAGGGCACTGTCATACGACCTCAATCTGCCAGAGAGGTGAGTCAGATTGTCAAAACCCAAGGGAAGATCATGGTGCCCCGCCCACCTCCTCGGACAGAGCCGATGGGAGAAAAAAAAGCATGCATCAGAAAGACTCCATATGGCACCAACCACCCTGGCATTGATCATAAAGAGCCACTCGCTGCACAAGAGGCTCAGTACAAGAACAATTTCGCAGATGTTTTCACATCTAACAGTCATCCTCCAGTCCCAGCAGATCCTACCGTTATGTACACAATAACACCACGCTCATATCCCTGCCCAGTCTGCCCACACTCCGACAGCATTGCAAAATGCACACCCAGTTCAAGACATCAGGAGACACACAACAGCAAAGGAAAAGGGACGATGAATGAGAAAGGCGTCTGTTTACATAGAACCCCCACAGATGAAGAGATTCTTCACGTCTGGCATGGAGTCCGCAGCGCCCTAAACACAAAGGATGGTAATGTATATTTTGACTGGCAACCACTCACTGCTTAGTCTTAGGTTAAATGCTATTTATATAGAGATTTGCAAAAGGTTATTGTTTTGTTTGACTTTCTCATGTTCAGTCAGGTTCAGCCACAGACTTCTATGTATTTTTTAGGGGATGAAAAAAAAGTGTTAAGTTTTAGGAAAATGATCCATTGCTTATGTAGGCATGGATACAGGACTCATACTTTGTACTGACTCAAGGTATTACAGCTGCATGTCTTTCTGGAATATAAATTTGCCATAGGCATATAGAGACTGAAATGTCTCCCCATTCCTCTCTGAGCTTAGTCAAATTGGAAGCACCTGACAACAAAAAAGGTTATTTTTTCCACAGATTTTCCATTGGATTTATTTTCAGCCTAGACTTAGACTGGGCCATTCTAGCACATGAATATGCTTTGATTTGAAACTGAAGTGTTTTTCTGCTTTAAGGTGAAGCTTTACTTGAACCTGAAGTCTCTTGCAGCCTAATATTCAAATTCTTTATTACGCTCTAATGATCTCTGTGTATCTTATCATCTCTGACCAACTTCCTTGTTGCTGCTGAAGAAAAGACACACCATAGAGCTGCGTTCACCATGTTTTATAGCAGGGCTTGTATTTTCAGTTTTGTGTACAGCGATAGTTTTTCATTACATATAGCTTTATTACTTAAAGCCAAATCTTAAAAGGTTTGCTTAATCTGACAATCATTTGGCCATCCTCCATAAAGCTCAGATCTGTTGAGCTTACACTCAATGGGAAAATTGCTGTTATTGATAAAAACACTGAAAGACTTTATACCTTCACTGCTCCCAAAAGGCCAGACAAGGTAACTTTTATACAAATGAAACATGACGTTGGCAAGCTTTGTTCTACCCATATCAAAGATATTATCAAATATGCAGGTTGTACTTCTTCTGTTGATAAAAACTTGTTAGCTTTATGAACTATCAGTAAATAAAAACAGCCAGAAGACAAAAGGGGGCTTTCATTGTCACAGTGTTATATGGAACACACTAGAAAAACATGCCCTCAGAAAAGCTAAAATTCTAAAGAATTCTTCTTTTATTGTTGTAATTTCTTTTATCTCCTTATTGAGCACATTGCAAATGATATGCTTGTGTTTATTCAGTTTCAGTTAACGTCCGTTTTGGTCCTCTACACGTTTTACTGTCCATTAAAACAATGTTACGCTACAGTACACAGATTTTAGTTGAGGACTAGGACCAAGCAGAAAAACCGCAGCTTAAGTTTAAGAGATCTACCCTGAGTTTAGATGGCCCACAAGCTCCTGATTGGCCCACCGTCTTCTCTTGTATGATTGTCTTTCACCGCTGTCACTCCTGAGAAGCTCACTTTACAAACATTTAATGCGGCACTGAATCGGGTCTATGATTGGATGATGTTAGTTATATTGAAAAGTTAGTTATAGTAAAAAATACTTGCATCCCCCACTAATGAAATCAAAATTTTATTCATGCCCAGATCCATCTCATTTCCTCAAATGTCTTTTAAATAAAGGGACCACCAACCTTTATAGAAGTTAGGTTTAAAGCGCACAATAGTAAATTCATAGATAGCTGCACAACACATGAAATGCATTAAATACAACTACAATAATTTAGCTAAAGGGATCAAAAGCCTATTACTTTTTTTTTATGTGTCCTTTTTGTTTGGTTGTTCATGTTTATGGGATTTCGGTGAAATATCCTCTTTTAGATAAACCTGCACTTAAAAAGCAAGCCCTGGAGAGCAGGCGAGTCTGCGGGAAATCCTGTGCCGAGCAGAGCAGACAACCTCCTGGCTCAGGAAGTAGAAGATTTCTTCAAAGCTTTCAGGTAAGTCTGTGTACAGGCCCCACAGTTGCCCTCTGGCGAGTGAAAGAGAAGATACTTATTAAAGATCCATTAGATGGTAGGTTTAAGCATGTTTTGCTGTCACTTCAATGCAATGCATTGTCTAAATGAAACTGATTAACAGACATTTTATATTAGTCACAAAAAGACAATGCTTCTGATCTAAAACAAGGATAGACATGTACTTGCTAACAGTGTTATGGAATATTTAAGATCCCAATATAAAGCTTATCTGATGGCAATTTATCTTGTTTTTTTTTTGTTTGTTTTTTGTAGTATATGAACCAGAACTCTGAGCTAATGAGACCTGGTCCAAGGAATTGCAACATAGTGTCTCGAAATGAAGGTACTGGATTATGTGTTTTATGATTAGTTTTTGAAAGTATATGCAGCCTTCACTGCTTCCCTAAAAGAAATGTGCTTGTAAGAATTTTTATATGATCCCCATAGTATTGACAACATATCCAAATTTAATCCTAATATTTCAAAGTGACTCCAACCGACAGATGAGAAAACATCATAAACAACTTGGATTCAGAAAATTCAGTGCATTTTGTTGTCATTTTACATGACCCAGGTTTATAATGAGAGGTGTCATCAATTTTCCAATCCAATGCTTTCTTCGTGCCACTCTTTTATTAAAGTCTATATTTTCAAACTTTTCCTCTTTACAGATCACTTCCCCTAAGCTGTCGATCTCTGCAGCTCCTCCAGAGTTACCTTGAACCTCTTGGCTGCTTCTCTGATTATTTTTCTCTTAATCTGGCTTGTCAGCTAATGTGGGCATTCATGTCTTGGTAGGTTTCCAGTTGTCTCAAGCTCTTTGTTCTTGTGACTTATGGACTGAACCAGTGTTCTATGGGAGCATTAAAATAACCCTAATCTCTACAACTCTCTTTGTGACCTGTTGCTGTTTTCCATAGGTTTTATTCTGACGTTTGTTCAGTAATGGTCTCTAAGAAACCCAGAGCACCATTACAGAACAGATGTAATTAACTCTTCAAAATTATGTTATTCTTATACATTTTTCTAAAGTCTTTATTTGTGTGTCCAGTTTTCTATCATCTTTTTGCTGCTGTAAACACCAGAATTTTCTATTCTATTCTATTCTATTATGCTAAGATCAAATAAAACACAAGTGGACTAGGTATTTGGGTGAATTCTGAGAAAAAAATGCACTTCTGTTTTTATTATTAATGAAGTTCAAGGATTATATTTCTTTAAAAGTGCTATAAAGATGTATGTTCCAGTATAACTGTTTTCCGTTGTCCTACAGGTTTTGAGAGTGCAGCCCGGTTACACATGGCTGAAGTGCATCCTGAAGGCCTTGTTAAACCGAATCAGACTGTGGCCATCATGAAAGCACAGAGGCCTGAAATAGCACAGCAGGAGCTCACCACTCTTTCTTTTGAAGAGAAGAAAATCATGCTCTCTCTGGACAAACTCAACCACCAGCTGTACTGTAAGCTATTAGTGGAGGCTACATGCAAGAGACTTTTGCTGTTTGACAGAACTTTTATATCTAAATATATCCAAAGATGACATCTTACTCATTTTCTATCATACTTGCAGGTTTGAAGGAACATCAGGTAGGCAGACCTGGCAATAATGGTCAATTAATAATCGGTATACCCTTTGTAAGTGTATTTAGAAAAAAATGTTTTTACTTTAGCATCAAAACTTAGTGTAATAGAAGTGTTTATTTCTTTTCTTGGTGCTTCTTTTTTCAGACCGAAGAAGTCAAAGTTTCGAATAATCTCAAGCACCGGATATCTTCTGCAAACCAGCTTCATTACCAAAAGAAAATGTGACATGTTTGACTCTTCACACCCACCAGTTCTAATATAAAGGTTTTACATTAAATAATTATTTGACAAAATGTGTCTGAGATTTATCAATAAAAAGAATTATTAAGATATATATTATTAAGATATATATATATATATATGTATATATATATGTATATATACGTATGTATATATACATATATATATATATATATATATATATATATATATATATATATACTACGTATATATATATATATATACTACGTATATATATATATATATATACTACGTATATATATATATATATATATATATATATATATATATATATATATATATATATATATATATATATATATATATATATATATATACATACATATATAAAACCCTATGAGTTTCATAAAAAAAATTTAAAAGTGTATTTTCTTGTATTTCTGAAGGAGTTTAAAACTACTTTAATGAAACTGTTTGGGACAGAGCTTCTAACCAGCACAATACTAACTGACTGAGTTATATCTCTTTGGCACTATTACCACTTTCTTAACTATTTACAGGGCTGTCAATAAAACACAGGGTCCCTGTAAATAATGTTCAGTTTAGCGTTGAAGGTGTGCTTGTCTTTGTTTTATAGATACAGAAAAGATGATCGTGTTTTCTGGACCTACTGGTTAAGCAAGAAGATCATCCCTTTTCAGACTGTACTGAACTCCACTTTTAAGCCTTGTTATACTTAAATGTGCCTTTAAATTAAAACGGCATCAAAAGACCATTTATTTGATTTTTAATTACAAGCCTCTCCGTCCTCCTCTCTCAACAATGGGTGCATCAGGGGGGAAGAAGCTGTAGGGATTATTGATGTGTGGTAGCTGCGCCTCCTTCACAAGCGTGTCTGGTTCTGCCCATTAGTGAGCCTGTTAGGACTTGCTCCAAGAAGTGTTAAGAAGTCTTTTCAACAGTGCTGCAACTTTTATTTGTGGTTTAACTGCAGGTTCTTTGAGTGATCTAAGAAGGAACTATAAATAACAATGTGTCTTACTGTCTCACTTTTTATATATCTTGAAACAAAAATAAAAAGAGAAAAAAAAAACGCTATATATTACCCTCTACATTTCTGTTTATGATGATTCCTGCAGCAGAAACATTTTTAAAAATGTTCAAAGAGATCAGCATCAATTAGATCTAAAGTTCTTTTATCAGAAAATGACGGTGATGTAATATATGATTTATTTATAATAAAGTTTTAGGTGAAAGTAATCCCTTATTTAAGGATGCCAGAAAAATACTGGCATTAAAACTGCTTTTAAATTGGAAAAATTCAACGTGCACAATATTTTAAAGTTAAGAAAGAAGAATAAATAAAGTCACAAGATTTTCTTTTAAGTCTCTTGTGGTAAAAATCAGCCAAATAAAGTGAAACAGAGCTAAACTGTCCTAACACTAAAACAAAGCAGCATACAATGAGGGCTTCATCCAGTCAGTGACAGGTTTGACCTGAAGTTGGTTGGGCTGCTTTTATTAATGTTCTGAGTCCTCACCAGCCTAACACCCTGAAACTCAACAAGGAGAGGCGAGCCTGCCAGGAATAATGGGAGGAGAGTTTCGTAGATGCATGTTCAAGCTTGTGCAGTGGTCTGTTGTGAGCCTTAATTCTACAGATTTAGCTTTGTAACAGTCCATTTAACACAAAATGAACAGTGGCAAGGTTGCTGTATTTACACCAAAGGAAAACAACAAGTGTGTGTGTGTGTTCTTGGATTTGATAGATTGTATTCTGGAAAAATAGCACCTTCTGGGGACCTGCTCCTGGACCCCATGAGGGGAATTGCTGTTTTAGGGTCTGGGGGTCAAGTTTAGGACTAAAGTGTGAATTGAGTTAAGTTTGGGGTTAGGAATAGGTGCATTTACGGTAAAGGCCACAGTTAAGCTGTAGAAATGGGGTTGATATAAATACAAGTTAATGAAAAGGCCTTGCAAGGATAGAGAGATGTAGTATGTGTATGTTTGGGTGTCGTGCATTGAAAAAGCACCCTACAAACTTTTCCCTATGCCGTTATAATGCAACCACCATGTTTCGCTGTGGGAAGGTGTATCTGGCTGATGTGCAGAGCATTTGGACCCAAAAGCCACGCTTCAGCTGTATGTTGTCAGTCTAAAGTATTTTAAAGCATCTAACTGATTTTATTTCATGGCCTAACCTGCATTTAGTGTCTTCAATCTTTCCATTAGCTCTAAAAAATGTCCTATACCTGCTGAAGAAAGGGATCCCAACTGCCAGATCTTATTTTTCCAACAACCACAGGTAAAGGTATATTTTTTTGAAAGCTGATGACCTCTCAGCAGATTTCTCTACCTAAGCTGTGGATCTCTGCAGCTCCTGAGAGTCTTAATGGACCAGCAGGCTGATTAATGAATAACGCTCTTTTAGTCACACCTATCAAATTACACTTGGCAGCCATGTACCTGTAAATTTCCAGTATAATGTTCCTTCCTTTTTCATTTAATGTGATGCACCAACGTGTGTTGTGATAACATAAAATCAATGTTAAGAAAGCATAAATTTGTCGTTAACCTAACAAAATCTGCAATTAAAGGAGTGACGATGCTTGTAGAAGCCACTACATGAAACTGTTTTTTATAATATATCATGATAAAGGGATACAAAGGCACACGCTAAAGAAATATGTCTCTAATTGGACCTTTTTAAGAGGCTCTCCAGGAGTTAACAACTCAGGCAGGCTACTGTATTTAAGATAATGACCAGCAGGGGGCATCCGAGTTCATATCTAGTGATCATTTTATTGTTTAATGAAACCACCTGGCCAAAGTCTTTGCACAGGATGGATTAAAGTAGTTACATATCCAATAGAAATGATCATTTTAATAAATATATCCAATAACAATCTTTTGCACTGATACCACCTGTAACATGAGCTGGATAATCACAGGGAGGTTGGGGCCTGGGTGGGGGAGATGTTGACCAGAAGTGGCCAAACTTCTCTAAGTGGGTGGTCTCTTTTAGTGCTACACTGACTGTTCAGGACCATCTCTTAATGTTTTTGCATGTGTTACAATAAAATGAAAATGACCACTTTTAACTTTAAAGATACATGAAGCAGAGCTCTCGATGATTAGTTATCGCTGCTTATGAAAGCCATTGTTGCAATAAGATTTCTGGGTATTTATTGAAATATATTGTATAATATATCTATTTTGAGTCTACTCATTTGGTATGCTAATATATTTTTAAATTACTCAAAAATATAATAAATTTAAAAATACTAAAATAAAACTTTTGATTAGTGTGTTGCTACAGTAATGGGTTAGAGTTAAATCTGAGATTTAGATCAGTTCATAAACATGTTCATGTCACTAGACATGGAAAGGCAAGTCTGTCTCTAGGCCTCTTTGGAGCTTTACTGTGTCTATTTATATTTAATAGGGCTTCATAATCATTTATTCAGTGGGTGTATGGGAAAAGATGAAACAGAGCCTCTATGCTCTGAGAGGGAGGTTCGAGACAGAATGATTTCTCAATGGAAGAGAGGTTCCCATTAGCATAACAATTGTGGGAACTGAAAAGGTCTACTTTCCGTGAACACTGTAAAAAAAAAAAAAAATGAGGGGGATTGAAAGTGAGAGCGAGAATAAATAGTTCTATAACCCACTGATGAGGGACGTTGCTTTAGATTTATTGTTAAGGTCCTTGGGAAAATGTGTTCATTAAGAGGACATATGCGGGTTTGTGTGTGTGGGTATGTGGAGGGGTTCGGTGCATAACAAGGTGCTATACAAATAAAGTTTATTGATTGAATTTGATCAATCCTTTAGTTACAGCTAATGTTACGATGGTGCTATGCAGTGAATATTAAATAAACAGGTTTGAATAACATTTATCATGCAACTAAATCCTGTCACAGGAGAATACTGGGTATTTTTAATCTGTGCTTCATTCTCAGTCAAGTAGTACACTTAGATTCATAAATACACAAACTAAATCCATACAACAGCATGATGAAAGATATACAGCCATAATACATTTGATATTCATTAGAAATACTAAGAACAATCAGTGTTTAATTAAAAACAACAGTTAAAGGATACAGATCAGAATAAGTGCACACAGGACTGGATTTAAGGGGGTGTGGGCCCCTGGAATAGAGCTAATTTTGGTGTCCTACCCACAAAAATGTCCTTTAAGCAGGCAAACTGCATTATTTGATAGTTATTTCAAAAATATTTAAGCCTTATCTATATAGAGAAGACAGCTAAATGTCTACAAATGTTTTATTATGGCAGAAATACACAAAACAGCAGGCAATACCCCACTTTACTAGGGCTTATACCCTTTCTTTAGAATCATTGTAAAACATAATATTTCTGCAAGAAATATTAAGACAGAATCAAAACTAAAGATAAAAACTGGCATTCAGACTATTGCAGTGGAGCATCTTTTCTAAAGCCCTTTGCATCCTTTAGTCTGGCTGCAAAGTGTAAATAATCATTGCACTTCATAGGAATCGTAGGATGGATCCCTTTATATTTGCTCACGTTGCTGCTTATTACAAAAATCTTTCCTCAACAATTTGTAAACTTAACTCCTTCAGCTTTTAATACTATCATTTAGCCATTTTTATAAACAGTAATAACTGTACCCACATGGAAGATTTATTTATTTTAAATTTTTGTTTAGAGTCATCATTGGAATTTGCTTTCTAACTTTCCTAAAATGTCAAGTGTGCTCCTAAAACTGCTCTAAAATAAACCTGATAATATTGTATAGCCTGTTTTAATAGTGTATATGATAAATTGTTTTTAATGGTTGCTGATGGAATGGTTTAGAAAAATGCACATCTGATTGTACATTTTGTTATTACCTGCTTGCCATGTTTTCTTTCATATTTTTCTAATGGTGCTTTAAATGGATTCAACTGCATTTTTTCAGGGAAAGCCAAAGCCTTCATGAGGCCCTGAGAAAGATTTGATTTAGGTATATCTGCCAATAAAGTTCATTACTGCAATCAACAGTAAAATAATCAGGTATTTCACATACTTACTATAAACTTATTGCTGCTCTTGTTTACTATTT